ACCCCGAGGTTTTTCTGGCAGGTCTCAGGAAGACCTCACAAATGGGGCTGATGACTCCAGGCGCAGACGGAGCCGCAGGGAAGCCCAGAGCGCCGGCAGGATGGTCCCCATCTGCAAAAATCAGGCATCCCTCCCAGCCCAGCCCTCGCACCAGCACCCGCTGGCCGCACCACAGCTGGAGCTTCTCTTTCAGCACCCTGTTTGTCCCCCTCCCCCCATTGCTCAGAACCAGCTGTATTTGTGGCACCCCTGGGGTCCAGGTCACCCCTCCAGCGCACGGCTGCCTGCTTTGGGTCTTCCTCTATTCCCATACATCTCCTGACAAAACCTAAAGAGAACAGAACTCTTTTGGCTTGGCCTCTGGTCCCTAATTTCTGTCTGAGCCAAGTTGGCGTGGCTTGGCACTCACGGGTTAAATGGTCACATAAGGAATTCCTGTTCCCATTGTACCAAACACTGTATTTTTTGGTTAGTCTAAAGATTAAAAAGTTGCTCTGTCAACTTCAATGCTTCACTGCCTGTTCTTCGCATGCAAAATAGTGTGGTTTTGTTGTCATGGGGAATTCCTTGCCTGTGAACCATGACAGTCTTTACTTTTTACCTAGCGTGAGAAAGGCCATTGTATATAACTTAACTGGATGAGTCACATTAATACACAGATCTAGCCCGTACGTGAAGTGCAAAATCAGTAAGAGTGATGGGTGAATTTACAGCTTCAGGAAACGTCTACATGTTTTTGCTTTGAGTGAGCATCAGAGCAAACGTGTTATGTAAATGCATGTGATTGCACAACTCACTCCTCAGTGTTACTGATCTCACATCCATTTGTGTGTACAGAGCAGCTAAACAGCTCTCATCAAAAAAGAGCCTATTGCTGCTCCAAAAGCAGAGATCTGTGGGTGGTCGGGGTCGTGTTAGAGAGAACACCATAGCCCGTTCACACTGACTTCTCAAGTTTCATCCCACAGACAAAATACACCAGGTCAAACCAGAAAGCGCGTTCGTTGCCGCTCTGTTTCCCTGCCAAAATGAATTTTCTTCTCACTGATTCAAACACTCTTGAGGTCAATGCTCTCATGCTCTCATGCTTTCCGGATCAATAGGATTTTATTCTGAGCATTCACTTCTGCTGCCAAAGCAAAAAGACAAGCAAAGATTTCAGATACCTATCCCAGCAGCTGCAGACTGCCCGAAAGTCCTACAGAAAACAAATGCAATCTCAGGGCCAGGTTTGGTGCCAGGCTTCCCTGGAGCAGGACAGACGCATAGTCCACATCTGCTTTTCAGGAGTCATACTTACCTGTAAGGCTGAGCTCTTTGCAGTCACTCCGGGCTAGCATGACAGCACTTCCACATCCTGCAGGCATCACCTAAAATAATTTCTGATATCTGAAATAATTCATTCTCTAAAGCCACCTTTTACTGCCTTCTAGGTATATTACATTCGGTTGGAAAGAAATATTGCAGGCATAAACCAGATGAACCAGGGACTGAAGGAAGGGAAAATGAGAAACAAAGGACTAACTTTTTAGGCTAAGGAAAAAAATGTGGTTCCACATCAATCGTCAGAAGTGGAAGAGGTTTTTTTCTGCATTATTATTCTCCTTTGACACAATTTTTAATATAATGTGTGACTAAGACTGTAAATCCTAGTATTCTGCTCTGCAGCTGAACTGAAATAAGGTTTCAATTTCTAAGTTTCTGATCATACTAAGATGGATTTTTCCATTTTAAGTTTATGGACACAAAATTAAGAGAGGCTTTTTGTTTGAGACTGTAGTGAAACTACAGTTATGAACTTACCAATGAGCTTCTGGGGAGCCCAAGCCACTTCAAATGTTTGAAGAAGTTAGAACTAGGGGGGGGGGTTATGACAAATTTGATTTTAGCAGAGGAAGAGGGACTCCTGCCCTGGCAGAGAGACCCTTTGCTCCAAAATGAGAAAATCCATACTAGTACCTACACTACTGCAAGGTCCCAGCAGTGTAGGCTCACGAGAGTTTGGTGTATATTGAGACACTTGTCACTCCCCCCACAGACATTTTAGATCACAAGCTTCTGATGCCTCTAATATTGTACTCTTAGACCTGCTGGTCATAACTGACTCTTAGCCTTATTCACCATACAGTAATGGAAGAAAAATATTTACACATTTCCTATCAGAATGATGCCCCTACATTTTGAAGTACCTGCAAATGACAGACGACTCCTGGTTTTCAGCAATCAGAAGCAACAGGCCAGCAGCTATTTGATCTGAACAGGTTTGGAGACACTTCCCTCCTTGACCTGTTTTTTTAAGAAATCCGAGGTTAAAGGCAGCAAAGACCCAACACCCATACTGTAATTGCCCATAGTAGCTCTTAACAGAACAGCACAAAATATCTGGCAGAGTGGCAGATAACAAAATGTATAAGTAGGAATAAAAATGGATTGATGTGCTATCCCCCCACACTGAACTGCTCAAAAAAGCTGTAGTTTTAACATCTAAACTAAAAAAAAAACCAGAATAATAAGCAAAACCTTGAATTTCCTGCTTGTGAGCTGTCCCACCAGGTTCCACACACCATTGAGCTGTTCAACATCTCTTCACATTAAAAGTGAAAATACCATGTAAATGATCAAAAAAACTGTCTGAAAACAGTAGGTGCCAAATATAGTTAGGTTTTATTTTTTATTGTCTGATAACACTGTGATAATATAAACTGTATCAAGCATGATAAGACACTTCCAGAAACAGCATAGGTACATATTATAAAATAGAAAATAAAAATATTATGTTAACAAAAGGAAAAAAAAATAAAAAGAAAATACTACAATAAAATAACAGTACCAGTTTCCTCCCGTATTCCAAAATTTATTGAAAATGTTTAAATTATGCAACACTAAGATAAGTTACTTTTATTTTCTCTCTTGATTTTAAACATGCACTAACTCAAACAGAAATAAAACCTATTGATCAATACAGAAAATATTATTAATCATGTAACATTGCATGTAGATTTAAGGAGGGATGATGCAGTGGCTGTTAAAAGAAATGCATTATAATTACTTCCTTCCCATGGGCTTAGAGATTTTAACAACTAAAAATAGCTCAATAATTCACAATAAAAGGGACAGCCACTGAATTAGCAATAAACTCTGATAAACGAGCTGTTATTGTAAAAATTGTCAGAAAATTATCAAACAAAAGATCAGCTATGCTTCAAATAGTCTCTGCACAAAGTGATGGCATTCATGGCGACCATGATCTTTGCACCTGGTAGGATCCTGACAGCCCTATCAGAAAGATAGAGGGTGAAATCCGAACACTATTAACAGCAACAGAAATTCCACTTACAGCTCTTGAAGAGAAACACGCGTGCCTTCTGACCACAATACTGCAAATAATCCTACTTAAAACATGCTTTGTTTTCACCACGATGATAATCCTAGTGAAAGGAGTGCTTTTCTTCTCCATCTGCTGTAGAGCATCGGACAAGTGATCTGCAGGGCAGCTGGGGATGTGTTCTTCCCCTCTCACCTCTGCAAACACCTTTGTATGTGCTCATGCATTAACTCTCAGAGACAGCAATCTCACCTTGAACTAAATTATTCAGGCCCTACTATCTTCTTCAAACTCCAGAAGAAAGCAGCTAAGGAAAAGCTGCCGGGACTGTCAGGTGCATCTGCTGAGAGTTAATCCCACGAACTTTAAAAAAATGAAACAAGCCAGCCAAGCAGCCCAAAAACATGTGTGACTCCTAGGTCTTGCACACAGTGCAAGGCCATCAGTGACCTCGTCAGTTCCTTTTGCTCTTTCCCATGTTACACCCTTGTCAATTACATTATTTCAAAGGAGGCTGTAAGTTTTCAGAGGTGCGACTCCATTTTTCTATGCATTTGCAGAGTTAATACTTGTTGAGATGGTACTAAAATAATCTATGTCTATGCACAGTCTTTCATTATGCAACGTACTAAAAATATATTTTTTTAAAAATAGCCCTTAACACATGAACTACTTCACATTCTTACCTAGGAACATTTTATCTATTCCCAGTAAACATTGCCACTGTCCCTTTGCAGAAATGTGACGCTTTTAACCATGATCAAATGCAAAATTGCTTTTAATTTATCTATAAACATTTTGGTCAGAAAAACATGAACTAACAATAATTTAACACGCAGGTGCTACTAGCTTAAGAATTCAAGAAATGTAATTTTGTGGAACAAAAGAGAAAAAGAAAATATAAGAGGTTGGATTTTTTGCTGAGTGGATACATACATTCTTAAACAGTAGTAGTAAAGTGGGCTTCAATTTTTGTAAAAATATTTGAGATTAAAAGATTCAAGAGCAGATCCTTCTTAGCATCAGTTACAAAAGCTCCACTAGTATTAATAACCAGCTGAGGATCCTACTTATAACATCAAAGATGTATAAACCCCATTTCTTTGATACCCATTTTTATGAAAAGTGGGTTGGGTTTTTTTTTGAGACACCACTCATGCAAGAAAAGTGAAATTTGAAACACAGCTTGATGATGGAGTTTTGGTAAGGCCAATAGAGCCAATGGTTATTACTGAGCAAAACCCTTTCTAGTACAAGAAATCAATCTTAGCAGAGCTTGTAAGCAGCCAAGCGACTTTACATAATAGGGAGCTGCTGTTGCCTCGCAGAGGTTAGCAATTATTACTTTTCAAACCAAAGTCAGAGAAAATCTTCTCATTGATACAAAGCAGAGTGGAATCTGGGCCCAAGCCCAGGTATACATTGTCTCTGTTACTAAAGTTTTATTCTATTGTGTTTCTAATTCCACCTTACCTTTCAAGATATGCCCAGTTTACATCAATTAAAAATCAGACAATTGCCCCACTACGAGAAACCAGTGTTTACAATTTTGTAAGGAAAAGAAAAGACATTGAACCCAACAACCACAGTAAAAATAAACTAATTCCATAGTTTTAAAAATAAGGATATCAACATACTGAAATGTTTTCAATGTTTTTAGTTCAAAAAAAAGGAAGTACAAAATTATATTGAAATTTGAAAATTCACAAGAAAATGTTTTCAGGAGTTTTGCACAGCAGTGATGCTCTGATCATGTCTTTTTGACTCCAGTAATAAAGATAGAACCAGTTTCTTGAAGGAGTGGGACGTAAGACACATCGTCTACGTATGGTTGCTGTTAAGATTGTTCTTATTAAAGAATCTCCTTGCTTCAACACTGCTAAGAGACACAGAACAGCGAGATGGATTCTCTTTCCTGTATTCAATGCTTTCCATCATAGCTTGCTTGATCACCTAGAAAACAGTGAACAATGTGTCATTCAGGGAAATAACTACATCTTAATGATTTATTAACTGATAGAAAAGACCCCTTCAGATGTTAACAACTGTTGCTCCTACTTTTAACACTGCTCCATCATTGAACAAAGTGATTGCTGACTATTATTATGAATACTATTTCTTAATTATATAAAGCACTGATTTTAATGTAGTTAATAAAGATACAACAGGATGACACCAACATCAAAGAAGTCACCCAAGAATATAAACCATTTAAACTGAGTCCCAATGAAATTCTGAAGGGTAAATCAAAATACTGAGAAAATCCATACTTAAAGGACATAGAAAATAATTATTATCTTGAGAAAGATTAAATCTTCACTTTTGCTTCCTTTGTCCTGAAGTAACAAGATTTCTTTACTATATTGAGAAAAAAAATCATTTCTTTATCTGGGATGATAATTTACACTTGTGAATATGGCAATTCACTCTACAGATGCTGGGATCATGGTGTCATGTTACAGCTGGTATCAATAAAAAATAATTATTACTGAGTTAGTTGATAAAGAAATTTCCAGAGATCTTCACAGAAAATTTCCAATTTCCTTTCTTCCAGTTAGAAAATCATCATACATAAAGAATTGAGTACAAAATCCTGAACATAATGTGTACATCCTACACAGTCACCTTTACTCAGTTACCCTGCAGGGCTTTTGATGGTAAAATGGCAAAAACAACACAGAAACCAAATTAGAAAAGAATATGAATTGGAATGGATCCTAACAAGCACAGGCAATAGTTCTTCCAATTAGAAGATGGCCACAATATTACAACAATCTTCTTAGCCCCAGAAATACTCTTCTTCAGACATTTTTCTACTGGAAAGCACTTCTGGCTTTTTCAGCAGCGTATTTGCTTAGTGGTTTATTATTGACAGGGGATCATATATGGTAATACTTCCTACAACACTGCTATTTCAGTACTTTAGAAATAGAGGTCAAGTGAAAATACCAAATTCTCTTCACTTAATTCTCACAGTGTATCTCATGCAATTCTCTTCAGGTAAGTCCAGCCACTGTATTACCTACAGTGACTGCACTCTTCCTTCCCTCCCAGGCTGGAAGGATGCAAGTTGACCATGCCACAGATTGTGCATCCTTCTACACAAGCTCATGAAGAACTCACTTAGGGTATACTCCAGCCCTCATTAAAATAAACCAGTTTTTTTCCACTGACTATAAATGGGCTTTGGATCCAGCCTCAACTTTGAGAATAGCAAGGAGCACAACTAAATGCAGGAAGCACTTTGTATGTCACAACAATCAGGCAAACACTGAAGTAAACCCCTGTACCTTCTGTATGGCAGATATAGGGCTTTATTCACACCACCTACTTTCCCATTCAACAATCTAGACCCTTTAAGCCCCTTCCATGCTGGCAATACATACATCTATGTTATTGAGGGTGTTGAACTCCATTAGATCATGAAGCCTCTTGAAAGCCTCATTGGAATACTGGAAGTTGAAGGTAGAGAATGGTGTATTCGGATCATCAAAAACGTCAAAGTCTGCAAAATCCTTCTCTTCCTGTGTTTCTCTTGGAACACCTGCATACAGAACAAATGTACGTCATAACAATCAGGCAGACACTGAAGTAAACCCCTGTACCTTCTGTATGGCAGATTTAGGGCTTTACAAAAATACAATCTAAATGTTAGGTGTGAGGACTTACCGTCTTATTTTTTAATGGCTCCTTTGAAATCCCTAACTACTACAGACAGACTTAAGAGGTATTTCAGAGACAAAACATTTCTAGTATATAATCAACAGCACATTATAAACCTTCAAAGGAACAACTAGATTTAGCATCAGAAACTGTGTGCTCACCTGGAGCTTTGTACTTCCGGAAGTTGATGTTGGCCAAAACAAAATGAATTATAGTTGGACAGTCTTTCTCTGAAGAGGTATCCTTTGGTTTGAAAACATAGCATTCCTTCATGCCCTCTCGATCAAATACATTTGGGTCTATTTTGGGGAAAGGAAGCTTGTTCATTTTGGCCCATTTTTCAGCAAGCAAAATTTCCTGGAAAGATAACAAAGACTCAGGTGCATATAAGCATCCACTGCAAAGTGAGATTTTATGTTGAGAGACACAGGTCAAAATGGTTACTAGAAGCAGTTTTATTAACTCATGCTTTTTTACAGCAGAAGGACTGATCAAGTCAATCTTTGTATAGATGACCCAGTATGGCAAACAGAGCACCTAATTCAGCCTGCCCAATCTTCACCACCTGCGGTGATTCACAGGAAGGAAAGAGCTGGTCTGCCACATAAATCCTTAGGTGAATTTACAGAGCTGACAGCTACAAAAAACCATCCGTAATTTTACTTGCAAACTGACTATCAGTGCTATGGAAACCAATGAGAGTTAATAAACACCAATCCACGCGTTGTTATGTTCAGAGTCACATCATAGCACAGAACAGCATTTGAAAGCACGTTAAGTAAAGAAGCAAGTCTGGAAAACAGGCTTTTTTTTTCCTCGGGACAACTCAGTAAACAAAATAATTTGTAAATAATGACTCAAAAGCGTGTAATGAGGGTGTGTGAGAGGGAGGAGAGGGAAGGTCAACATCTTTAATCTTGGTTTTGAATGAAATAGGACCCTTCTTTGGGAAACTGTTTTGGATACGCAAGAGATTAAAAGATAGTGGGTGTAAAATGATAAAACAAGAGTAGAGTCATTGACTTCAGCTGGCTGATTTCCCTCTGTGATGGAGTAATAAAAGTATATTAGAGTGCTACCATAGATATAGGCCAACTCTTGAATTGGCATTTACTCATTGTAATGCAAGCAGAACCAATGGGATTGCACAGCCAGTAAACAAAACTGGTTTCTGTCCTTTAGGCCATTAGCATACAGCCTCTGCTTTTGGATTATACCTATGTATTAGCTGGAACTACGTCACTCTTTTTATTATACACATATTTCCGCTTCAGAAATAATGAACCATTCCCTTCAACAGTGGCTTCATGAAAACCTAAGGCGCCATTTAATTTTCCCACCATTTTTTCTTGCGTAAAAGGATTTTGCCTTTTTAAAATTACAGTTTACAGAAAAACCTTCTGTCAAGGATACCACTTGACTTCCCATCAATCTCTCCATGTTATGGTATGTTCCCCAAAACGACACAGAAAATTGCAGCTGATGGAGACAGAAAGCTCAATGCATAGGCTAAGAGTAACAGAGATGACTATACACAGCCTTTTGTACAGGCTTCATGTGCAGAACATCAACAAAGGGAGGAAAAAGAAGATGTTTTAGAGGAGATGGCAGTGCTGTGTCAGTAAATTTAGCTGATGGGGAAAATACTCAGTCATGACAAAAAAGGAGACAAATTCTTAAATAGAAAATTAAAGGAAGAAACAAACTGTGGGATTCAGTCAATTAAGGAAAATGAAGGATCTCAGCACTAGTAAGAGTCTTCTCAGTGCTCTATTCCTCCAAGTAGTCCCCAAGAGACCTAGAGATTACAGAAGTTACTCCTTTTTTTTCTCCTGAAGCTTGTTTTTCTTTGCATTTGACAACACTGATCTAGAGTTTGTTTTGCTCCTGCTGTTATTTTCTAATGTTTGGGGGTTTTGTCCCTTGATAGCAAGAGGAAGGAAAAAAATATTCTGTTCTAATTGAAATTTCTCTGTAAAGCAACAAAGAATGCCAGTTGATTCTCAAACAGACATGTTTTATTGGTTTCCTTAAAAATTATTTTTAAAAATCCACTTGGGTTTCAAACAAATATTGCCTCCCTTTTGAGAACCTCACAATAGTCTCATAAGAGCTGCTTTTTCTCAGTTAGCAAAATGATCCAACATTAAGCCTTTCTGATCAGTTGGAGCTGTCTCAATGCATAGGTTGTACAGGTCATACAGACTGACAGCTGTGCTTTCCACACCTGCTACAGAAAACAGCCACATCATTTAATCCAGATTTTCTGTTGTTACTTTGCTCTGGCCTGAATGGATTTAGGAATCCTACTTAAACCAGTACTGGGATTGTCCTAGTGAGATGTAACTGAACAGTTAGCCCCACTTCCAAAATGTTATATATTTAGCAATGCCAGAGTGACTGAGACATATTTCTGCAAGATGATGACAGAAAACCATTCATTTACACCCCAGCATCACAGGGGAGAACAACTGTACAGAGACAGAGTACTAGCACAATGGTAAATGACTGACTTAATTGTTTAATACTGACATAAAATAAAATTCTGCAATTCAGTGTGAAGGCAAGACTTCCATAAAAACAACAGAGCTACTACTTCAAAAGAATTACATTAGCCTTCTTTGTTGTGTCAGTTGTCTCATGTGAGTCATGTAAACAGGAACTGAGGCTGAGTGCCATATTCTGCCTTGACGTGGAAACAAATTGCACCAATGCTGTCGATACAATAGCACTAAGGCCTTCTGGAACCATGAAATGTGCAACCAACCTGACTGCGAGAATACAACTGAGTCAACGTAAGTTTATGAACACAAAGAAAGGAATGGCCTATCTTACTCACTTTGAAAGGAGGACTGGAATCACTTGGCCTTGCTGAAAAATCAAAAGAGATGATGAGATCAACGCCTCTCTGAGGTCTTAAGATAAGTGGGTATGGCAGGTTAAATGTAAGCCCACTGTCCACTATATGAATCTTTTTGCTCTTCACATCTAGTGGCTCATATATCCTCTCAAACTCATCAGGATCTGTGCAGAACAAATGAAAACAAAACAAAACAAAACAGGAACACATGAGTTAAGAACCGAAATTTTGATGGGCTTTCCGGTGTTTCCCCAAGTACTGAAGATTCCACAGAATTTAAAATGCACAGTAACCCAGCAAAACTTACCATGAACTCATGCGTAACCTTAACTCTCAACTTAACAACTGGAGAATGAGGTAAAAAACCAGAGCTGGAAAGGACCTCAGTAAGTCAAGTACACAAACACCCTGTCCCAAGGCAGAAGGATAGGTGGCTAGAGGCAAAACTGAAGGGGATAAATGCCCAGGTTTGACCCTAGCCTTCCCACCTTTACCCCACCATCCCTAACAACAAATACACAAAGGAAGGAGTTTATGGGATGTTAAGAGACATCTCCACAGTGTCCTATAACACCTGCCCAAATCTCTTCCCTCAGATTCCCCCCCAATCCCTCGGCCTTCCCAGCTCCTCTTCCCCAAGTATCTGAAATTGGCCTAAAAAGCCTTGATGTGGCTCTGCTCTTGCATGATGCTTGTCTGTGTCTGCTTCTGTCCATTAAAATTAGCAGTATCAAGTCTTGTTTTTCAACCTACACCAAATCTCATGACCTCATTCTCACTACTATACTACAAACAAAAAGAAATGGTAGCCCATATCCATATCTGAAATCTAAGCATTGGGCAGAATTACATGTAAGCCACTTGCTGTTTTTACTGTCACATTATAGTATAAAATAGTCTCCTATCTCTAATGCCCAAACTGAGGGCTCAAGAAGATGATGTTTCCCCTTTAACCTCAGTATTCCCTGGGGGCAGGTCAGGAAAAAACAAGCAATTTTTCATAACTGTCTTTGCACTTATCCAAGTCTCTGGATACTACTAAATGATCACTGCAGTACTTAAAATTTTTCTCCTGATGGTCTTTTCTTGCTCTAGATCTTAAAAATATTTCCAGTGCATCTTTTTCCCTTTTGACTAAAAACTAATGCTCATATCTGTAGAGGGCAGTGTAATCTAAGGAATGCTGAACAGAATAATGTAATTATTTCTTGTAAAATTAAATTTCCTAGCAACTACTTATTGGCAACAGAAGTAATCTGAAAAAAAGATATTTTAATGTGAAGAAAATCCATAAAAAATAATTCAAACTCTAGTTCCTGTCATTTCAGGATCCATGAGAAAAATTTATTGTTATGAGCAGCAAAAAAATCTCAGAACAGATATTTTGAGTTTTTATTTTTGTTATTATTTATTAGAGGGCACTTTGCTAAGAAATGAGGTACCAGTTTCCTAATATTTGCCTTGATTTCTAAGGCAGAAAACACTTTCAAATTATTGCCTATTGCAAAAGGGCTAAGTGTGTTTATAGACCTATTTTAGAACCAGATATATTTTGTAACCATGAATTAGCATAAATCAATGAAAATATATTAGTGCCTATAAAAATTCATCATAATTAAAAAAACACTGGTACAAAATACTTACTACAGATCCTTTTATACAAGTAGACTAGTTTTGTTTTCCCCCTCCTTTTTTAAAGACAACATTTCAAACATGATTTAACCCTTGTTCTCAATAGAATTTCTAAAAATTGTAAAAACATTTTTGTTCAAGTTTTGTATTATCTTATTTACAAAATTTTAATTTGAAAGTCAACAGTGATCCTTTAAACAAGAATAGTACCACCTATAATAATGTTTGTGATAGGAGTGTTACTGCTTACACAAACTTCCTACCAAAAAGGCATTGAAGAACAAGACGGTTCCTATTGCTTAGAACCTTCATGACTCTATAAATTTTATGATATTTTAAAGGATAAAACATCATAAATTTATAATGAACACATAGACTGTTTTTATTAGTCGTGCTCTTCTGTGATTACAGGAGAAATTCAACTTAAAGGTTTTTCTTTTTATTATAATTCATTTTAGAAGTACCTTTCTAATCTTTGAACTGAGAAGAAAAGTTCCAAAATGCAACTTGTGTCCATGTTATGGGGTCAGAATTCAAAAAGCAATTAAGATAATCCAGTGTTATTTTAACAACATGATTTTAAAGGCAGACTCAGCATGTAATTTGATTTGATTTACACAGGATCTGGGCCCAGAGGCCAGAAGCAACACACAATAGCCCGGTGAGACAAGGCAAGCAGGCAGACCAAACTGTGGTTCAGGACACTGCAGGTGAGCCTGCAATTGCTCCTGGGAGAGTTGTAACGTACAATAACCATCCCTGATGCTAAAAGAAGTGTCACCTACTCTATAGCCTGTGCTGTAGTTATTCTGAAGGGCTGGATAAGAAAGCTTTATTCTTTTTGTAGTTTACAACACACGAATCCAGGACAATCGTTCTATATACTCTAGCAGCCCTGATAAGTCAACCATCATTATTCATCGAACAGTATGGAGACCAAGTGGAGTATTTATGCTCTGAGAGCCTGGGACACTAATTTTCAGCCGATGTGGACTGCTTTTATGAAAGATGCATCCATATTACAAGAAGCTTTCAGTCCATCAAACAGCAAACTAGGAGAAGCACAAGATGTTTACGAGTACAGCTCTGTGTGAAAACAGCACAGCACGCCTATCTGATTTGCAGTAATCGGATACACAAACAGATATTAAGAATTGTTCAGAAATAAAAAAGACACCATGTTCTAGAGACCAAACTTTGTCACAGATGGTAGCTTCAATGGAAGTATGGGAGATGAAAAGGGCATTTGCTATTGACGTGCATCTACTATAACAGAGTTTCAACAAATACTGAAATAAGGAAGCAGAGATTATGAGTTATTTTTTCCCTATTGTTATTCACTTGGCATTTTCTCAAGTGATTTTGGTGTGTTGTAATATCAAGGCACAGAAACAGAACAACTCTGAGTTCATAATGAAACCATTCAAGGGGTGTAAAGTTTTAAAGCATATTTGAGATCAACTAAGAAAATGCTCAGCATAAATAGAATCCACAGCAAAGCAAAGCCAAGCATTTTACTTTCAGATCAAGCAGCTGGGATCTCTGCTGTATGCACTGCAGACCCTAAATTCAATCCTCAGTAATGACTGTAACATTGGCTTAGGCCTGCCACAGTTCATCCTCTGCAGTGCAACTCAGTGGGTCTACAGAAGGTTTGAGACAACTGGAGATGTAAAGTATTATTTATGTCCTTTTTGATTCATCTGGTAATAAAGTCCTAAAGCAATTCAGACTTCTCTTTGTACTCAAGCTGTTAGGTAAACTGCTAGTGGTAGGAATAAATATGCAAAGCTTAAATGCAACCAGTGCCTTGGTAATATATAGTATTTTAAATTTACACCAAAGTTTCCTTTCTATCCACTCCTCTGGGCTCCTAGGCTCTTACACATATTAGCAAAATTCACAGCATTGAAATGTGGATACACCTATCACACTACCGAATGATTAAATTTTATATTAACTACTGAAATTTCAAGGGTTTTTTAACTGTTCTTGACCATAATATTGCAACTACTCATAGCTGTTAGATTTGAGTTGTTAGTTCAGGTTTATGAGTGTGGGCTTCAGCTAACACTAAAAAAATTGCAGTTATGTCAAACTTTTGCCAGACATTTTACCCAAAGAAATTTCAGGCACTCAAAAGTGATTGTCTCAGAGGTGCAGGCTCATTCTGTCAAACCAGCATTTTATTTCAATTAAAATTAACACTCAGGAAGTTGACAGTTGATTCTGAAGATTATCCACATCTTAATTATGCAAAATTCTCATCAACTGTCATTTTTTCCAAACATAAGTTTACTACCCACTTTCCTGCCTCTTTTACAACTACTATAAATATTAAGATTACCCAGTTGTAAACACCTCTGAGATGATAAAAATATTTAGAAAGTGGAGTACAGATGGAAATTACTACACAACCACTCAAAGGGATTTGTTACATTAACAAATACACTTTAGAGCGCGTCTGCTACTTAAGCTTTTAAACGACATCTGGTACTTACTATTGCATAATGACCAGCTAGGACAATCTCTTTCCTCTGAACAGAAAATAAGGGCTGAAGTGACTACTATTATTACAAGGGATGGTTGGTAGTGCTGTGCTGCTACACAAGAATATGGAGGGAACACCACTTTCAGAGATTTGTAGTTCATCAGCTTGATGTCTGTCAGTAGTAATTCATAATAATCCAGAAGCATTACAGTTTATATCACAGAAACTGTATGTGGAAGCTCCACCAAGTATGCATCTTCACTGTGACATAACTTCTATAGGGCAACTCACATCCTTAACTCAGTGCTCTGCTGTCTACTAAGAAAAAAAAAGCACCAGTGCCAGAAGAATATTAAGAAATTAATCGGCTTTCACTGAGAGGATTGTAATGAACACTGCCTATAGCAAATCTTCAAAATACTAATCGAATGTGATTCCTAATTCTTTGCAGCTACTGTTCCAGACACCATATACTTCATGGAGTGTGGGAAGATATTGAACTTCTTTTGCAAATTAACATTTTTCTGAAATTCTTATTTTCCATCTGCATTCCTGCTTCCTGCTTTAGCCAACATGACATGTGGATGCATCTACCATCAGTCACACATGAAATGTGAATGCACCTGACAGATAGTCACACTGGGAAGAACATGGTGTCAGCAAAGCAAGGATTTACAAGTAGAGAAGTGTGTTGTCTCTGCATATTTTCCAGAGGAAGACAAAGACAGCAGAAGAGCTACAAAATTTTTCAAAAGGGAAGCCCTACAGGAGAACACAGAAAGGTTTTATTTCCACCAGAAGGCTTAGCACCAATAAAAGAAAAGGAACAACACAGGATACCCTTTGTAGAAGTCCAAGAGATTAAGAAAGTGGCCTTAACGAAGGGCGCCATACACAAAAGCAGCTTGGTAACCTCTGCAAGCAATTCCTCCAAAACAAAGAGCCACTTCCCTTCCAAAAGATACTGAGTGTTCTGCACACTCTGACAGGGGACAGGAGAGGTAGGCAGCAGACAGAAGTCACTGTGCGGTGCCCTTTGAGACACCCAGTCACCTCACAACCTCTGCTTCTGATCAATAGTCATGACTGCCACTACAGAAACATTCTCCTGCCTTCAAGTACGTGCTGTTGTAAGCCTCATAGTTCCATGTTATCCCAATGAGAACTCACTGTTTCTGGTTTTACTAATGAATATGCAGCAACATAGGCTTTCTGTGAACTAACCTGCAACAGCTGCATCTAGTTCATCATCCTCTACCGACTCCTGAGTAAGAAGGTCTGCCAGAGGAGAGAGCGGGTAACAGCTGTTGAGGTTCAATCCCAGCATGAAGTTGTGCACTTTCCCAGCACGCCCTTCCCTGGTGTTGAAAAGGGCGCTATCACCCACCAAAGCCATCAGCATTCGCTGCACCCAGCTTTCTTGGCTGCTGTTCTGATATTCTTGATTTGCCTCAGCATTTTCAGTGCCTGTAGAGGAAAATGAAAATAACCAATGGTGAGACAGTTAACGTATAAAGTATAAAACCAAGATTTCTGGGTCTACTAAAATAAAGGACCTATTAAAATAAAAGGAACTGGGTCATAGCCTTCTTTCAAGGAGTCATGGACTGAACAAAGGAACTTTGCTACAAAAATTTCAGAGGAATGGAGAGAAACCATCCTCTTAAATTCACAGGCCAGTGAAATTTTCCATCTGCAGTATAGCTGTGTGGATGTGTCCATCAGGCAAATAGACTGGCAATGTGTTAGATGACCTGACCTGGACTTAGTTAGTCTGGATGGAAAGGGCAACGAGCATATGGCTTTACCTGTGCTAGCACCCAGAATGCAAACTCTCCTGGGCTCAGGGAACAGACTTGAGTCGCCAAGTTCTATACTCTATGTAGACCTAAATTCATCTGGATGTGTACTGATACCCTTCTCCATCCTTTGCTGATTGCTAGAAAACTCAGCCTTCCTTAAGAAGGCAAAGTTAGTCTGCATGAAAGAGAATACTATAGCATGGGAATTTTAAAATATCTGAAAATATCCTTACAGTAAACTGTAGACTACAATCAATATCTGGTTTTAATTAACTAAAGAGTACAATGAAACATCCAGACTTAGATGTCTATAGCTAGACGTCGCAGTAAAAATGACTTGGATTGGCATCACCTTGTATTAGTAAACTGTCAAAACTTGACTTTTTGGGGTGTTTTGTAGAAGAAGGTAATTCAGGCTCAGGCTTGATCCTTTAAATCCAGCACTGAAATGTGCCTCTAATCCAGGCTTTAAAGGACTTGATTTATATATAAGTAGAGAGAAAGCAAGCATCAAACACCGCAAAGTTTAGAGGTTCAACATCTGTACAATAATATTCTATAGAAGTGAGAGGGATTACCAAGTGTTTACAAATCACAGATTTGTAGGTTGTCCGCTATGGCTACAAACTATGAGAGAAATGTAGTGTTTTGTGCTGGCTGTAGTGCTTAAACAGGAAATCCGCAAATAAACACAAAATGCGGTATCACCCTCTCCCTATTATTTTACACATAAGGGGAATTGAAGAAGTAATCATTTAACTGAGCTAATGACATAATTTCACTGTGTCATCACACAAGATTTTCTTGTTGTAGATCCTAAAATTACAAAGAGCTGCATTCCCATCTTTGCTTTAGTTGTTAAAAACATAATCAATTTCTTCAGGTGAAAATCACTGCTGTGCCCAAAATATCATCAAATACAGAAAGCATTATTAGGATCAGACAGAGACCCTGACCAAAATCACAGAAATCCCCAGGTGGTTTAGGTACCTAAAGATAATTTTCAGTAGGATCTTTTCTTCCCACTGCCCAATGTTCCCCTGTGGTTGTGCCTCTTCTGGGAAACTGGATTTGGGCATTGTTTAAAATAATATGCCAAGCACTAGGAACTTCCTGTATCAGATGACATTTGTAAAGGTGCTAGAAGACATCTATGAACGCTGGAAACACGAAGTAAACCATTCTCAGGTAAATATTTGATCAAGGAACCCTTGAAAACAATGGATAGTATTAGTTTGCTGGGCTGGTAACAATTCGAACACACCTCTGAGCTCAGTAGCTTGCTGACAACAGACTTCTGGAGATCACTGGCTCAGCAAGCCTGATTTTTGGATATATGTGAAATTGCAGACCTCTGCGAAGCACTGTTGGGCTGACACCAAGACTGAAGATGTGTGGTGTGAGAGAATCATTTGCTCATCAGCTTGAGCAGGAGGCATGAAGTCAGGCCAAAGGCCCTCCTGAGGTCTCTTGTTCAACATTTCTCTATTTTGCTGAGCCACTGGCTCCTTTAAGATCCTTGGCCTAGGTAATTAAGTTTACTATTGGTATAAATGAGAGCAGAGCTCTCAGTTATAACAGACTATTCATAAGACTAAGGAAAACCAGCTATGGATAATTACCAACATCCACAAACTTGACAATGCTACACGAAAGCTGATGAAAAAAGTAAACTATGAAATAAAATATGAGGATTTCCTTACCTTTTGGATGCTGTGATTCATCTTCACTGTCTGAACTGTCATTGCTTACAAGGTGCTTTAGCCTAATATTCTCTGTTGAAAGAAATATAAAATTACTTTAAACTACTAGGGTTTAATTGTCAGAACAGCTAAGAATTTCAAAACAATTTAAGTCATGGAACTATCATAGTCTTCATAACAGAAAATACAGCTGAAGAGATTCAATCTGCAGTGGCCATCTCTATGTTCAGAATCTGATCAGAATATATTGGCTTTAGCCTGCAATTTTTGCAAAGTTCCTGCACTAAGCAGATAGCCGAAGGGCTGAGAAAACAAAATTTAATCCTAAAGCAGTACCTACCACTTACCTCTGCACCACATATCTGACACATTTCATTAACCTTGATTAAAATTTAGATGTATAGCTTCTGTCCTCTCAATAACTCCTAGTAAACTAGGAAGACAATGTTAATTTCTGCTAATTACCTGCTAATTAAAAAAAAAAAAAAAAAGAGTAACACTTAACCTCATTCATACATATATAAATGGGTACCCTTAAAAATAGTGGGGGAAAAACAAAGGCCAAGATGGTTATGAAAGTTCTACTGGATAATGTGTGAAAAATAAAGGCCAGTGCAGTTACATGGGTAGAAAAGACAACAGTTTTCATCTCATAACATTAAGTGAGAGAAATAAAAACAGAAATGAGTGAATTTTCCTGGCAAAAATCTGTGTTTTGTTAGGGTTAACAGCTTTGTTTCCAAAACAACCACAAAGTCATCGTTAACTGTTCATTGCTATCTCAAGGCATTATTTCAAAGTCAAAATGAATACTGAAAAAGCAACACATTCCATTGCTCAGGTAAGATTTGTAGTGGAGGTGAATTCATGTGCTAATGGATTATAGGTGGGCAACATTATTTTCGCTAATTATGGAGAGAAGCCCTTCTTGAAACACAGTAAATTTCCAATGTTTTGTGAGCAGTCTCATCTTTGAAGCTTATATCCTACAGAGACTGGAGACAGGGGCTGAATTCCAGTGATGCAAATGTATCCAAGAGAAGACTTTTGAAAACTAAAACCCTTTATTCCCTAGTATAATGTATGCTAGGAATCACCTCTAACTGAAATTTGAAGCCAGTTAAAATAAACTGAATGAGGGTTATTTCCTAATGAACTTGAACATTGTTTTTCCCATTAAAAATTGGGAAAAAAACCAACTACTTTTTCTCACAGAAGGATAATGTAGATGTTGGTCTCTGGTGGCATACCCCTGCTTTGGGCTGTAATTTCCAACAAATGCTGTAATTTTTACCAAATGCAGTATCAAAACAATGGCAATTACACTTGGCACTTTTTGCTAAAGTCTAAATCTAATTCCTATAAGCACGCCTGGCTGAAAGAGAAGATTGAAGAGAGAGTCACTATACTATCAAGTGTAAAAAACCCACAGCTTTATGACCCTTGGTAATGAATACTGGATACAGATGACCACCACTGTTGCTTTTTTCCTGAGGAGGATTATGCCCTCTTAGACTTACAAACAACATTGAAAAAATCCCCACAGAAACAGAAGAGCTTAGTCATCGTGTATTTTTCCTTAAACACAATTTCTTTTTAATACTCAGTGGGTCCTCAATCACTACTCAAATACCGTTAATGGACAAACCCACACCAAAGACAAACACGTACAAATTCTTGAGCAATGATGTAGGAGAGAGGTCAAATAAAAATTAGTGACCAAAAGAGGAAGCTAACCAACAAATGCAATTTTTGGACATCAAATCATTTCTTTAAAGCAACCCCTATGCAAAATTTATTATTTACTGCTCTAGGTGTGATTTACACATACTGGGTGCAACACTGGCTCTTCTGATGTTCGCTGGCATTCTGCCATTCACTTTGGTGGTACCAAGGTTTCAGTGGGACATCTTCAGCTCTGGTAATAGATTGTGGTTCAAGTCACATTAGTATTTTCATATCTAATCCCACATCAAAGCATATTTTTTAAATTATATGTCAAATGAGCCAGCATGAGAGAGAAAATTCTGTCTCTCAACATCTTAAAAAGCAGTAACACAGACTTTTCCACTACCAAATTTATTGACAGAGATTATCCATTAGTAGGTGTTAACACTCATGAGTTGTATCAGAAATAGGAATCTGGAGGCACAGGTCTCATTTTCATCCATAAATAAGTACATTATCAAACAGCTGAATACCATCTATTAGGAGGCAGAGACAGCTAAGGGGCTTGGGTTTTTTTTGTTGTGTTTTTTAAATTAATTCAATGTGCATTTTCTCTCCACGCTCTTCAGAAAAATCTGGCTGTCTAGTACACTTTATTTATTGGTTATATATTTTCCTGCAATGCCGTCTTCTGAATAGGTAAAAAAGTATAAAAACCCCTTTCATTATCAACTGCGTTCTCGAATAAAACACGATAAAGTCTATTCAAACCAAGTTACAATTCTTTCCTTACAGTCATTACGCCATTTGTGCATTAGGAATGAAAACGAAATCATTAAATTAGTAAGCAAAGGAACAGATACCAACAGGTGACTTGTGGTTAGAATGGAACAATCTAACAATCCAGAGATGATAAAACTTGGTTTTATTTTACTAATCCCTTGAATAATACAGTCCAGCGTCAAGAGACTACACAAGTAACTATTAAGCATTTGTCAGCTTCTGATCTCCAAAACTAGCATAACAACACAAAAAAGGGAGTTGGATTCTTTTGACTTAATGAAAACAGTGGGATATATGCATGTGACTTTCAGTACCTCTGATACTGGATCAGAAACAAAAGTGAAAGAAAGAAAATTACTAGCCCTCTTTCCCTGACCTCATCAGCATCTAGCAATGTCAGCAATTAAAGTTACTTGAATTCCACATTCTTAAAATTACTACCAGCAGAGTGCCATCCTTCCACAGAGAGTGCACTGAATCTTACTAGTAATTGTTTAATATTACCTAATTCTTCTTCCATGGTGGGACCTTTATTTTGAGAATTGGAGACGCCAAGCACTCTGTTAAATAATATAGAAAATGCACTGCCCCAGACGCCTGAAAGGGAAGAAGTAAAAAAATAAATGGAAGCAGTAGAAGAAAAAAACCATATACTGCACTGTTTGAGCAGTTGTTTGCTCTCTGAACACACCCGATTTTGGAACATGCTAAGTCATAAGTTCAGATGTACACACCAGAATCGAAAAAACAGGGAATGCCAATCCACATCTGTGAAATCTTTCAAATGGATGTCTTCCAACAAATTGAGAACCCTACTTCTTGTCTCACACTTTGTGTGATTGCATTTAGAAGTCCTTGTCCATGAACTGCTGAAATTATTTTAAAGTTTCTTTCTGTCACATACTCACCCATCAAGAAATGCAAGGGATTTTCACTATACTTCTTCACGACTGTCCCCATAAAAAATTTGCTTCCAAACAAATCAGGAGACATAAAAGTGCCATATTTTGCCATACCAATCTCATATGGACTGAATTCCACCCAGTCTGCAAAACAAGAAACAAAATGGTGTTTAGTTAGCAAACTCAACCTGAATAGAAACAGGATGAAAATACATAAATGAGTGAAACCTCCATCCAAGCAAAGAGATTTTAGTTAAATGGGAAGCTAAATAACCAAGAGGAGTATCTCCTAGGTTGTGCAGAAGTCAAAATTTTTATTTCAAATGAAGGACAGTCTAATGTCTCAGCAGAAGAGGAATTCTTATTCTCATTCTCTCTCATCACAACAAACTTCAGTGAAAAAATATGAGCTTGTAAAAACAGAAGTATAAAAGTAGTGATCACGAATGAGAAAAAATGACATCTGGTTTTCATCTCATGCTTCACTATGATTCCCTGTCACATGAAATGCAACATGGTTCTAAGTTCCAAGTTTCTTTTCTTTCACTGTGATCCTATAAAAAATATGGAGGGCAGTAGCAAAGGTGGAAGAAAAATTATTTAATATCACAAAACTTGTGAAATATTCTAGGAGAGGCATTTGGATTCCAACAAAACCTTAAGTTTCTAGTGAAATCCAATATGAAAAGGCAAAGCTGAGAGGCAGCTGAGAAACTTACTAATACCAAACAGTGCCAAACATATTTTTGAAAGTACATGCCATTTTGTGGAATACAGAGATCAATAAAAATACGGAATAAAATGTTCAAATGCATTTTCTGATCTTAGCAGAAAATTTCAGAAGTGATTTACATTCTGCGATGTATGACTTTTTTGAAAATGGATTTTAGCTGATTTTGAAATATTTTCTTTGATACCAGTGGAATTGCTTACATCAGAGAATTCATTTCAAAAAGGGAGCAATAACAAAAAGTACCCTACATTTTTAGTATTTCACCCATTCACCCATTTTGTCTTTGATACTGTTAGTACTGATTGATTCGACTGCTTCTATAAACAAATAAGAAATAATTCTGAAATAGAAAGGCAAAAGAAACAGCTTTGAAAAGTCCCAAAAGTCACAGGGTTCCATCCACTCCTCAAGATATTCAGTGTTTCTCTTGAAATGTTAAGCATCAGGTTAACCACTCGTTCTGAAAAGGAAAGATTTAATCATGACTGCTGAGAGTTTTGTTTCATGGGACAACGCTTATCTATGCTAAGTCAAATACAACATCCTACTTTCCAAATAAACCACCCACAAATCTTCACATTTATTGGAGCAGAAGGAAATTCCTTTGAAGACCCAGTCCAGGAATTTAATGGTATTTCCCTTTAGATATATAAACAGGAATTGGCAAATGTATTCAGAACCATGCTGACAGCGAAACTGAATTTAGATTTAGAATTAATTTAATCTGTGATAGTCCGCTTTCATTTTGTATTTGCACTGAAGAAGATGATTTCTCAAATCACATATCCTGCTTAGGGAAATAATTCTGCTTTAAAATTGAAGGGCTTCAGCATTAGCTTCTGCCATTTCAGAAGCTCCTTGAGACAGTGGCCATTTAAATGAGCAGGACTTGATGTCCCAAGAGACGAGAACTCTATACCAAGAGAAATACATAGTGTTTATATCCCAGTAAACCAGGCTAGTTTCTTGGCTGTGGCTTAATCCAAAACGTAAAGTCAAACCTTTCAGCTGTGCTCACTGCATTTTGGATGTGGTCTTGATGTAAGTTCGATCATAACTCTACACTGCTTCATACCAGCTGAAGATGCAACAGATTTTTCCTGTTCTCAGGAGGGAAGACAGAGAGGTAATATTTTGCCAACATTAAGCATTTGGCAGATTCAGGATTGGGCATATATATGCATGGACTGTATTCACACATTGAGACCGGATTCACTTTACAGTCCAGCCTTGCTGCATGCAGGCAGGTCAAAACCACATAACCAATCCGTATGTGTGATGAACATGGCTGACCAAGCACCGACTGAAGGATCCCTCTGAAACCTGGAGCGTGGGATCTGAGTGCTAAGTATCCATACCTCAAGGCAGCCCTGCTTCCCAAAGGAATTCTGTAGCACTTACTGGTATGGAGTGACACACACACTCACCCTCTCACAGACATAAGTTTGCTATCATGATTTTCAAGAGCAAAACCCCAGTCCAAATTTTGACTGGTCTGGCATTGCAGCAGCAGCAAAGTTGGTGAACAAGGCTGTTAGGGGATGGAAGCACACAATACCAAAGCCAAACATTAAATTCCACTCCCCTTTTTAACACTGAATATCAGTACCTTCAGGTAATTTCTTATCATTAAAGAAGCTATAGTAACTAAGAAAAAAAAAAAAAGCTGTCTTTAACTAAATCACTGTAATTATGTTCAGTTAAAATGATTACTGCAGTTCTGGGTATGGCCGGCGCCACCTGGGTCAAAAATGCTATTGGTAGAGAAAACATGCAGAGCCTGGGGCATGAAAGCTATTAGCAGCTGCATGAAATCTTGCACCATCACTCCCAGAAGGAATGTTATCTGATATAATTAATGCATTTCAACTTGAAACAACATTAAAGATCTCACCTACATCTATAATCTAGTAAATAAGAAAGTGTAAAAATTTCTGTTAAAAACTTACTATATATTTCACATCAAGAATAGCTGTTCCATTCTAAAAGGAGAAAAAAAAGCTTAAAAGAGAAATGATCAAGATCTAGCATCCTATACAATGATATAGATGATAGCCTCAAAAAAGCAAAACCAAGATCCATTGGCAGAGGCAATACCTTTTTTAGACCAATTGGTAAGGCTAGAGAAATTAGACCAGCCTTCAGGTGCTTCTGGTCTTGCTTAGAGAAGGTCATTATTAACTAAAGATAATTTTGTTTTTCAAACAGTAAATAAGTAACCCAAATAAAATTTTTCAGAAAACAGAAGCTCATCAAAACCCAAAATACTTTATTTTCAAAGAAAAAGGTTTCAGTTTCCTAAGGAGGAAAGTAGACTTCTCCCATGAAAAATTTAACCTAATTTACAACCTCATTTTCCATTATGAACGAGTTTTGACAGCAACTGTTCCAAATAACCTTTTTAGGAAACGTGGATACAATGTCTGACTTCTAAACCTCAGGCAAGTCACTTGGTGTTTCCCTTCTCGGTCTTATGTATAACTATATAGATATACATATCCTTTTCTTTGTACAGCATCTAACACATTTGGACCCACTCTCAAGGCTACTAGATGGGATTAAAACCTATGGAATAAATAAAAGCAAAAGCCCCTTTTGTGTTACCAACAGTACTTCACACTGTGCAAGAAGTAAAAAAGAGGTAGTATATCTAATTTGTTTGTTCAATTCTAATTTCACTCTTCTTACAAAGAGGAATAATCCTGTATGACTGAAGACATTTCCCTTTACCTGTTTGATAAACTAATGTTAAGCAGCTTTCTGCTGTTGGAGAAACACCAGCTTTCTTTTCGTCTTGACTCCTGCAATGCACTTAGCTACTTCATGAATAAGCAACACTTTTCAATTGGTAGGGAATCTTTTTTTTTTGTAACATATAGAGAACAAAACTTGGCCACCACTTAACATTTCACAGAAACCTAAAGAGGCTGTTATGGTGTTAGACTTATTTTCAGGTAAAAAAAAAAAAAGCTTACAAAATGGTCTAAGAATAAGTCTCCAAACCCAAGAATGATGGAGAAATAAAAGGCTGTTGACCTAAAACACAGTCTGTTTGTCTTTCCATGGACAGGAAAAGATGCATCTTCAAAGCCAAGAAAATGCTCAGTGGTATGCCATGACGAATATGTCCATTTGATGCCTGTTCTCCACAGCCCTGTAACCCTGGTGTAAGTAGTGCACCAATCGAATAAGTATCCACCTACCTAAGTATGTGATCCCTTATCCCTGAGTAACTTCTTGTTATCAGACTCTACTGTCAGATTCCCAGAAACCGCTGAACACCAATGTGTCCACTTCCCAGTCATTTTTTAAAACCCACCAGAACAGTCCTTATGATATGCCTGATATCCTTCAGCATCACAGCTTCCTATTCTTTTTATAAATCAAAATCTCCCTGTATTCAGTTCATAACAATGCAAATTTTGTTAAGCCCCAAAGAATGTTTCATATCATGGCAAATTCCTTCCTAATCCTTGCCATAAGACTAATAATTTCAAAGTGGACCAAGTTGCAGGATACAACTATTCTCTGAAGTATTAAAAAAAATAGGCTTTTTTTTGGCAGCGATGCACTCCTTTTCACAAGTGACTCAGTACACAGATTGAAAACATACCTGCAAACATAAGCTCTGAGACATCTGGTTTGACATGGAGACAGGTAAAGAGTGGGAGAGCACATTGTGCATTATTGATTTTCTCTTTCATGTTGCTCAAAGTGGTGTCCATTCTCTGCATGAAAAAGAAAGACATTACATCCAAACGGATCCTATGAAGGCCTGCTGATATTTGGGAGACTACTCATTTCTCTGAAATTCTCAAAGAGAAGAAAAATGGACAAACTTGGTTACTTCCAAGAAAAACAGAACAGAAGAATTTGTAAAAGGAAGTAATCTGCTTGAATGCCTTTTAACTGCACAATTCAGGAAGGAAGGAGTGGGAGAAGACATGATAGGAAGATTAAATAAGCATGTGTTACAGAATCCAAAATAACATGGCCAAAAAGAAAACAGTAGTGTTGGACAAAGCAATTTCTTTCCCTCTGCTACTGTAAAAGACTAAAACAAGGAAAAATCCCTCTTAGGCAGAACTGCCATTAATGATCATGTAATGTTTTTCAATCTGTGCTGTTCCTGAAAAGTCAGCAAAGATAACTAAGAAAAGCAAATGGACTATTAAGAGGCTTACATTTGCTAACAAAGGATCTGCATCTCCCCCAGAAAATATTCTGGCGTCTGCAATCTAGAAAGACTGAAAGTCATTATGACATAATAGTACTAAGATGTGTTATCTGTGAATAACCAAGACCCTTATTTCCATTTTTCCCTGATTGTGTCAGGTTCAGATTTAAGCTTAACGTCTGTGCATTTGTGTAACTCCTTAGTAAACAGGGACTTCTAACCAACCCCACATGATCATTAACACCCCTTCATCGTCAGAAACTTAGCTTATATATCACAATTACTAAAAGCTGTGTTGCCTGTTTTTCAGTAAAGTGTTCAAAACCTAATGGCAGTGTATACTCATGAAAGATACAAGTGTATAAAACATGTCTGTGAATCTATTAACACATTTTAATCTTACCATAAGAGCAAATCCAAATTCTGCTCACCTGACTCATTTGAAGTCTGTGTGCCTGATTCAGTCAATTAGGATTTTTCAATAATAAAATACAACAGTATGAAGACCTCCTATTGTCCCGTTTCTCAGAAAAACAAGTAATAATATATAAAGACGTGGATCTTCCACCTTGAAATTAGTATTTTTTAAGCAAATGCTGCTCTTCTTATAGCAAAATGTGCATAAAGAGGTTACACCACTCTGTAATTTTTTGTTGAAACTGCTTGAGCAGTAATTTTAATGGATGATACACAATGTTAAGAGCTTGCTACAAGTACCCAGCGGTTGAGCTCATTTCTGTTGCACATAAATGCATCATGCTTTCCTGGCTCTTAAAGAACTGAGTACCATTCAGAAACATGTCCCAGAGCAAGGAAAGCATTTTACAAGTTTCTTATCCAGTACCTGTTCAGCTATAACTTTAAATATTCCTATTGCTAAACATGCTTTGTTAAATGTTACCAAGGTCATTTCAAAAGAATAGTAACAGCAGTTATTACACAATAGTTTCACAACTCTAATAATCATAAAAAAATGAACTCACATTATGGATAAGTGTTTCACCTATTAGCATTCCAAAGATGTCTGTGAAGGTGACAGGCTGCCCTGAGCTTTTCTTATTCCACAGTGCTTCAATGTAGCGTTTGACTTTCTGAGGAGTGAGCAGCAGAAGTGGGTTGTGACTCACAGAGTTCATCAATTCTTGATTAATCTCTTTCGGTCCTTTTTCTGGAAAATCTGGGTGTGAATACAAAGTTGACATGTACCTGCAATGGAAAACAGGCTCTGTAAGTATCAAACCCTGGTTCAATGTCAGCTGCCTGAAATGTACAATAAGCTCATAAATAATTTGATACAATTACTGATTAAATCAGATTAATTTACTCACCATTTATACAGTAAATTGTCATTTCCTTTTTCTCAAGGCATAGAAAGCTAAACAATTTGTTTTATAAGGTGTTCCTCATTTATTTGTTTAAGGGATAATGGACAGAATCATCATAAGCTGAAAATAGCACTTCTCAAGTTGTCACAGTGCACCTAAATTTGGCAGACTGGAGGTCCTGTAAGTACATACATGCAGTTCTTTCACTCTAAGATGTACCTCTCTCTGTCACTCTCCAGTTCATTATCACTATTCAAAAATTCCTAAAATATATTAGTATATGGTATGCTTTCCAGGATCTAGATGTTTTCATAATAAGGTGAAGCACAATAACTACAACCTGTGCAGAGATTTAATTGACTCTGACAATTCAGAAGAGGTCTATCAGGCAAATCTTGATTTTGTCAGCGAGTAACTCTGGAAACTGAAGTTTTGTTTACTCAAAACAAAGTTTAGACACACATGCAGACAACTGTGGTTTGCACTTGGTTGGCTTAAGTAACACTACGGGTGAAAACTCCAGATAGGCCATACTAATCTACTAGATGCTCATTTCACTATTATTTATTCAATTAGCTGGCTCAGGTATACATACCATACTGCAGGCATAATTCTGCACAGCAGTGAGATACACACTGTGCACGCTTGGCCCTGAGATCACAGCCTGGCAACTTACTTGACAGCATGATGAACCCTGTCACATGCATGATGTAAGAACTTGATTCATTAGTCCTTACGCAGTCTCTAAAGCTTAGCACGCACGTCAGTTCATGGGTGGAACAAACACAGCAGCAAGCTTCCATGTAAGCAGAGAAAGGAAAACGCAGGATGAAGAATTCAGTACAAGGTTGAAGCAAGACGACAGAAACCATTAGGGAGGTAAGTGCATTGCTCCAAGGTTAGGCATGCATCTGAGCGAACAAGTGAAAACCTGCCTCTCCCACCAGGAAAGGTATTCTCCACCCTCCAGAAAAAAGAAAAGAGCATTATTCCCAAGTAATAGACTGCATGGAAAAAAAAGAAAAGAAAGGGAGTGTCAAAGTGTCAATTTATTTATTCATCAAGGAAGGAACATTTGAATAGGTGACATCACCAAGACAGCAAAAGCAAATTTGTTCAAATATAACTGTTTCCAACATATGTTTCTGACTGAATCAGTTCAGATAATCTTGCTATTTTAATAGAGATTTTATAGGTTTACATTAGATCAACTATGTATTCACACCTGGGTTTTCCCAAAAAAGGACCTCATGGCCAGCTGACTGACATCTTTTCAGAACATGGACTACATACCATTCCCTAGAAACAGTGAAAATTTTTCACGCTACACTGCACTATTCAATTGCTCTTCATCCAGCCAAATGGTATCTTCCACTTTTCACAAATTTGACAAAAGTACATCCAGGTCTCTCAATAGACAGCGATAAATCTGCCCCCCCAATCACTAGTGATAGAAAACCCAGGTTCCAGGGATGCCAACCTTCTATAGTCCCATCTAAACGAGAAACTTACTCTAGTTCATAGACATTTCTGGCATTTCAAAACCTTCTGGCATGCTGAAAGCTTTCTATCTAGCCTGGGAGGGAGGAAGCAAGCTTCACACAAGTTAAAAGTAATTGAAAAAAAGCCACACAAGGAATAGAACAGATCATTATCTATTTCAAAAGAGTTAACAACTTTGGGGTTAGAATATTTCCTTAGAATGTGTGAACCAAAATTCATGTGCTTCCTTAAACCAGGGGATAAAACTCATCCCAGGCAGATTCCCTGCTCATTTATATTTAGCTATTCCAACAAAAGCCTTTTTCCCTTACTCTCAGAGAAATGAGACATTCATATAATCTTGTAATTTAGACTGGAAAGAACCTCGAGGTCTCTATTCCAAATTCCTGCTCAATGCAAAGCCAACTTAAAAGTCGGATCAGGTTGGTCAGGGCTTTGTTCAGTCAAGTTCTGCTTTCACATGAAGTATTCACTGAGTCACACAGACAGAGGATGACACCTTACCCAGACTAGTCAAGTAAGGATGGGGCAATACATTCAAGTGCTTGACCATTCTCACTGCAAAGTAATTTTCCTAATAGCTAATCAAATTTCTCTTGCTGTAATTTATGGCAATTACTCCCTGTCCTTTCTCTGTGCATCTCCAAAAAGAGTCTTCTTTACAGCTACTGATTAGGTAGCTGAAGATAAGAGCAAGATCTCCCACCACCACTACCTTTGCCTACTCCTCAAGGCTGAACAAATCCAGCTGCCTCACTTTCTCATGTGCTCTAGTCTCCTAATTGCCTAGGTGGTACTCTGACGGAATTAATCCAGTTTGTCAACACCTTTCTTGTACTAGGTGGCCCTAAACTGGATTCAGATGCAGCTCCAGTATTCAAACTGGTATGGTTATGATAAAATCGTATTTTGTGACATTTGGGATATTCCCTTGAAAAGTTCAAAATTTTCTTAGGATGTAACATCCTCTACTGCAACCTCATCCATTGACATTAAAACCAAGTTTTAGACAAAAAAAAAAGGTCTGCAATTTTTCACTTAATGAAAAAAATGTAGTGTTAAGGAGTCTAAACAGTTAAGAAATTTGGACTGAATTTGTCAAATGTCTTTGGCTAATGAATATTATACAGCTTTTAAATATGTTACATCATTTCATTTAAGAAACATCAAAACAAATAGTTTCAACATTTGTAATAAGTGTAATTTAGGACAATTTTTATAAAAGCCAAGAAGACAAAAGGCTGCAGGTTCATAGCACTGGGCAGAGAAAAGAGAAATCCTCTCATTCAGAAGAGTAGTTGAGGCAGACATAATACTGGGGTTCAAAGCATTCTCCTGCCTACAAAACCCTAAGCTCATAATGGCCAGAGAGTGCCTTTCACACAGTGATGTCACTCTGATTTTCTCCTGTTGCTGTTATTCCTGTTAATGGTCTGAAGTATTCATTGAGTCAGACAGAAGGACATCATAACTATTTGATTAGGGCATTCTCATTGAGACATCTTTGAAGATTTTTAGCCCCATCTGATAACAAACTATTTTAAAAAACAATGTAATTTCTAAATTAAACAGTGACAATAGGAGTGATACAAGGCAATCCATAGCAGGATGCCCTGCAGCATGGCAGCCAGTCGGTATTCATTCCTACAAGCTGAAATACAAATTTCCTTATGGTAAGAAAGAATCAGTGAACAGGTCCTAGACATCCCCAGTAAATCCACTAAGAAGGGGACTAATGAGTTTAAAATGGAGCAAAAGACCTTTCGGTGACTTTGAGAATCTCTGAAAATTTCCCCAAAAGTATACAATCCATTTTGGGTTGAATGAGTCGTCATCTTCAGATCACAAAGAAATTTTTTTTTTCATTTCATCAGGAAAATAAAACAACACAAAAAATATTTTGGATTTACACCAACAGCTTGAATTCTTTATTTTTTGGTTATCAAGATGACAGAATCAGTTACACAGTCCTAGTACATACAGTATTGGCTGTTGATACAGAAATGCGGGTGCATATGTGTAGCACCTCTTTTCATCCATTCCTGCTATCAAAGCTCCTGGGAAGATCACCTGGATACTGAGCTGTCCTCACCCTTCAAGGCATTCTGAAATACCTCCACCAGCAGACTTGCTCCACTGACCCACTATGCTGCAAGATAGCTGCCTCCATATGTCTTTTCTGTACTGATAGCGTATGCCTAAAATTTGCTGTGAATTATAACCTTAGAAATAAAGTCAAGTCTCATGAAAATTCATTCTTGAACTTCCTGAAGAAAAACTGAAGAAAAACAAAAGAAAAAACCCTTACCACGTGGATCCTGAGAGACCAGCAATGTAGGTCGCACAGTCTAAAACTCCTGATTCATAAAGTGCTTTCATGACTCCAGCAAACCCTACCATGGCACGAAATCCACCTCCTGAACCCAATATCGCTATCACTGGTACCTGCATAGATAAGAATAGCATATCACCACAACAATTCTGATAAAGACTTAAAAGCAGTAAATAAACAACATTCATCAGTCACTGGTCAAACATACCAGCCTTGTGCAATTAGTAGGTCACCATCCAGAGATCCTCACAGCAGAGAAGAAACCTGTGCTTTTCCAAACCTGTGCACAAAAGTTCTAACAAGCCAAAAAGAAGGTATTCTGCAGTCTTTTAGTGGTATGTGTGTAAGAGAATGGCAAGATACTTTAATAAAGCCCTTTGAGATATGACTTTTAAACACTGTATGTAGAATGGAACAGTACTGTAATCCCACCCACGAAGTTACCTGTCCCTCTTAGGTTCTCTGGGCCCAAGGGCAATGTATAATATCTGTATGTCATTTACTCAGTCCCATCTGCTTCACAAAGAGCTGGATGGCAAGAGTACTTTTGGATTGCAGTATGGGAGGAGAGCACTGCCGATCATGAGCAAGGGAAGCCAGGAACCAGCTGGCAGCATGAGAGGTTCTGCCAAGGTGGAAAACTCACGGAGGGGCAGAGCAGACTTCCTTCCAGCTTCCTGTTTATCTTGTACCTAGGGACCATGAGCAACCGGAAGGTGCAAAACACTTGGCATGCAGGGACATAAAGGGAAGCTAAATGTGCCTAGTACCCATGTAGGCAAGAAGGAAGATATGACTGAGGCAACACAAGGGCAGGAAGAAAGCATGAATTCCCAGGAGAGAGGGAGCTGCAAGCATGCTACTTCTGGCAGTGAGAGAAGTCTCCCCTTCCACCTGCAGCTCTTTGCCTTATTTCAGAGCCCTGGTGACAGAGAAGGAACAAACACTGTCAGGGAGGATTTTGGACCAGATATCACAGGTTACTGGATAAGAAACAGTGCTACAAAGTGACAAGCACAGTAGCTGATGACTCCCTCTTCCATGGGACACAGGCCAACCTGCCAGCCAGAGTGATTGTTTAGGGAGGTCTGCTGCTTGCCTAGACTCCAGATCCACGATGGCACGGAGAAATGGCTGAGTCTCACCTGGCTTTCCAGATGCTACTCCTCGCTGGTCATCCATGTGGGCAACAGTGATAGAAGCAGGGGAGAGATACCCTGAGCAGATGAGAGGTGCTCAGATGAGTAAGAATAAGGGGCACAGGCACCCGAGGCTGTAGCCTGGTGACTTGATCTTTCTAGTCTGGAAGACGAATGGCTCAAGCAGATGCTATCAGGTGCAGGTGGTGTCACTAGTAAGACTCTTGGCTTCCTCACCATGAAGCCTTGCTTGCTGGTGAAGACGGCCCATGGGAAATAAAGAATCCACCTGACCAACAGAGTGAGGAACAGACTTGCTAATTTAATGAGGAAGACTTCAGACTAACTTCAATGACAGGGACCTAAATGAGCAAAGGGTGCAAATGTTGCAAATGCAGGAGGAATGCATGGGCTAAAGTTAGTAGTGAGACCTGCATGTTCCTGCTCAGAAGGAAGATTGTTCAGAGGCTTACCTCAAATGTCTCTATATTAATGAACAGAGACATCAAAAAAGAAAAATTGGAAGTTCAAGTGCAGTCACAGGTCTATGACACAATCAGAATGCCACAGACTTGGTGGGACAGCACACATGCCTCGCACACTGCCACGGATGGGTGGAGGCTGAGAAGATAGGTGAGGAAAAAGGGTGCAAGGGGGCTGTCCTCTACAAGAAAGCAGCTCCTTGATTGCACAGAACATCAGGATACAACCAGAGACACATCTTTTGGGAGCTTCTGGGTAATGATTAGAAAGAAAGTAACGGCTCTGTTATATTGTACTTTTTATTCACTACTACTTGCTAATAGGGCACAACATTATCACTGCGCAGAATCCTCCATTTTAGGTTCCTTACAGGCACAGAAAGGTAATGCCTGATTTCTCTGATTCTTCTGGTCAAGTAGTAATATATATTTTTTTATATATATATATAAAATAATATATATATATAAAGTCAAATACTATCATTATGACCCTCCTTAGCATCCTGTCTACTGAAATAATGTATAGAATTTCAAGTTCAGTTCATTCGCACAGATTGTGGCACTGCTTCAGACCTTAAAATACAACCAGGAAGTCTACAAATTGGGTGAATAAACCACATCAGGTCTCAGCATTATTAAGTTGTTGCCCCCATGATGCCCTGTTACTTAGAACTCTAATTGCCTGGTATCTGAAGAATTAGAATTTATTTGAAGGCGGCACCACTTGTAGCAAGATTTCTAATAAAAATATACTGAGAATTTCTTTAGAATGTCTGTCCTTCTTATCCATAATCCAAAATAGAGAGGATATTAAATATAGTTACTAAATAAACTATTTAGTTACAAGACCACAGAGATTTTTAAAGCAATGCAAACACCACCTTTAATCCAAATTATATCTTTGTAACAGAGCCAAAAGCAGTAAAACTTACTCATCAGAAACAGAAGAGAGACAAAGAATATTTTGGCTAGGAGTTTAAAAACACATTTTATAATAAAAACATCTGATATTACTATATAGCACGAAGACAGTCTCAAATTTACAGCTACCTTGCAAAAACTACAGGAAAGGTAAGGAGAATTTATGTGTATCTGTACACCTACTCAGCTACCAAGAGATAGCAAAGTGAGCAAAAGCAGACCCAGTTACAAGTGGCACCATATTGAATATGTATCTACAGGTGTTTTATTTTATACTTCTTTTCTTCTTATTTCCCAGCCTTCCCAGCCCTGACTTCAAAGCCATTCCCTTCCACTGCATAGTTTCCCCAAATATCTAGAAAGAAGACAAAATAAAATAAAAATTCACTTGCTACCGTCATCAAGTGTTTTAGACTAAGCAAAGGTCCCATCTGGTTCTCAGCTTCCAAAACCAAGAAGAATTTTCCACTGTTCAATGGTGATAAGGTAACAACCTCTTGGTTGTTACGAAGCATAAAAAGAATTACACAGTTGTGCAGAAAGCCCCTATCTGATCAAACTGGTAATTAGTCAAAAATTTCACTGAAATGCAATTTAAGGTGCCAATAGATGGGATTAGTTATAAGAAAAGAAACCATGTGATTTCAGTTTCTTTCTGCAGTCTCCACACTCCAAGCCATGAAACTTAGTGACAATGCACAGTCACATGGAAATGACCAAGCACAATGACCAAGTAAGCAGAAACATTTCTCAAGGCTTCCATTCCTCAAAAACTGCTTATTCTTGATACAGTAAGATTATTTGATTATCTTTTTCATAAGTGTTAAGCTTTAGTAATAGAAACCACAAGTATTTACTGGCATCAGCATTCGTAATGCACCTCCAGAGATAGCTATCTATCAAAAAAATGACAAAACAAAGGTAAAGATTTAGGACATGCCTGTTTTGTTAAGCCAACACCCCAATAACAGAGCAGTTGCTTTGAACAGAAAAGCCACATTACTAATCACAAATTTAATAATGTACGTTAGGCTTTGAAAGCTCTTTACAAACACTACCTAATTAACCTACACAGACAAATCCCAACAGGATGAAGACGGTGGTTTGCAGGTGCAAGCCTGGAAAAAGTATGTGAGAACACTTCCAAAGCACCACTATTCAACAAACCTATTCATCAGTGAAGTGGCATGAGCACAAGGGAAAATCTGAGTTTTCTTGAGGATGCAGAGAAATCCGCAAGGAGGATCAATAAAGAATGTCAAGAAGAGTCACTAGCATCCTGACTGCAAATGCTTCCTGTATACTTAATCCACAGACATTCTGGGAATCATAGATTCCTATACTGAGGGAGGGCGGGTATACCAAGAGGTAGGTGGATGTATAGTATCCCTTCATTTCCACTTGATACCAAAGCAAAGCATGAAGAACTTCAGTCACTACTTTATTTCCAGAAATGAAATTCAACAGATGAGCTCTAGAGCAGAGGGCAGCAGCTTAAGTAAGCTTCCCACAGCAAACAAAGCTTTTATCATTATTTAGATGAAAAAATAACTGAACAGAAGAATCTACTGCACTTTTACATTCATTTATTTCAGCCAACTGAATACAAGTTGACTTGTAGGCATAAGTCAGGCGATGAAGGTTAAGAGTCCTTTCCTGCTTTGCAGAGGGGAAGGTAGAGCACACTTCCAAGCAGGTAGGTTTGTTAAAGCAGCTTTTTAGCTGAAGTTCAGTTTCCAACACATTTAAGGGCAAGAAATGAAACAATTTGAAATTACATACACCCATCTTACAAGTTGCCCTCTAGGATGAATAGGACAGAGGCAGGGGGGAAGTAGCTGCAGACAGAGTACAAAGGGAAAGGGACCAAGAAGCCATCTCACAATTGAGAAAGAATGGGGAACAGCTAGCTAGGATACCAAGGCATGCACGCTTCTCCATGTACGCAGGCTGGAGCTGATGCACTCCACTCTTGGAGGTGCTCTGCACCTGAAGTCCTTTGTACATAATCAGTAAAACAGGGGCAGAGGTACTAAACCCATTCAAGCAGGTTAGTAAACTTAGACCAAAAGGGTAAGTGACTCAAAAGAAAGTGATGTGGTGAGTCAACAGCAAAAATGTGAATTGAATTCAAAAGTCTTGGAGACAAAAGTCCATTGCTCTAATCCCTGGCCACAGTGCCACACTCAATTCTATATGGTTGTGCCCACTTCTGAACAACCAAAAGGCCACGCCAGCATGGCTTTCTTTTCCCTATGGTTGGTCTGCATGGCACAATGCTGAGGGACCCAAGCTAGTTTTGAACAAACCAGCTTAGATATCATCCAAACAAACTCCACTGAACAGGATTTAACAATGCTGATGAAGTGTTTTGGCAGTACATCTGTACTGTTTCTAGGATCCATGGGGCACTGTACTGTGTGGACAAGCTCAGCAGCATACAGTTCCACTTCAATCAATGGGCGCCTCATCTCAACATGTGCTGATTGCTTAATCATCGAACTGGGCATGAATGTGAAAAGGATTTGGGAAGCAAGATATGTGTTAAGAAAAGCAAGCTCTGAAAAAGGCATCTCAATCATATTTTCCAGTAATCTGCCAAAAAAAAGATACAACATACTACATCTTGTTTGGGGAACGAGTGGTGCAGACGGTTTTATCCAAATGGCCTGGAAACACAGTGCGCAAAATCTGGACAAGAATACCTGTGGCGGAAAAAAGTTGCCATGGGGTACACATGATTATTAAAAAATTGTTCTGCAAATCCAGTCTTAGAGAACTATATGCGTTCTTTAATTGATTATGATATTTCTATAAAATTGTTTAAAGCAAGAAAAATTATAAAAATAAACCGAGCAAATCTCATCCTCTGTGTTTTCAGAATCTGCCTCAAGATTAAGCAAGGAAATTTGGAAGTACTCACTTCCCCATCCAGGGATGTATAATTATTTCACAGGTATTAAAGTCTCATAGCATCCCTGCAAGGCACACGTGTTGCTATTCACAGATGAAGAAACTTAGGTGAACTTTAAGTTAAATGACTTGCTTAAGATTAAACAATGACTCACAGGCAGCTAAGAATACTCATTATGTCTCCCAACTTCTGATGCCATGTTAAGACTACAAACATCCTATAAATCCTCCTGCTATCTTCCATCTGTAGCAATAAAAGTGAAAATGACAGGCTACAAGGACAAAACTCTATTTTAATTTGAACAAAAAGGTTTTTTTCATTGCTAGAAGCAGCTAAAAATTCTGACAAGTCAGCTTAGAAATACATACTTGGCATGTGAAAAACGGGAAGATCACATTACCTCAGTCCTTCCTAGGGTTGATAAGCCTACAATTAGAGATTACTGTCTGGTCTTGGAAGATGCAATTTAACTGATAAAATTTCCATATTTGAGACAGTGAGGGATACCAAGGGAAAATGATGACAAAAAGAATATGAAATCTTACCTAGCATTTACAATAATTCATGCACACATACCACCTCCATAGAACTGATACTTAAGGCACTGAGTATCACTCCAGTTCTAACTGGATCTTGGCAGAATATCTGCATCCTTTCTGAGGAAAATATTATTCTGCTGTAGAAGATCAGACCAATGTCACATTCACAAGTATCTACTCTAGTAAGATTTGCACGTGTTAAGATTAAAATAACTGAACAGAAAATTAAAAAACCTCAAAAATGTTCCTTCACAATATGCGCAATTTATATCACTACAAACAAAATATGTACGACATTTGTCAAATTCTTTCATCTTCCTCAGAAAGCTCAGACAAGCACATTTTATTATGCGAGACAGAGTTCAAAAGTATACAACAATAGCATATCTACCACCTGCTCAAAACTTCATAGAAATTTAAAAGGAATTCTTCAGTGTTGGTTCCAGATTCTGCAAAAGACTGTCACATTCTGCTTCTACTAAAAATGCACAAAGGGAATCAATATCAATGAATTAATCAAGCCAGATTAATTCATTGACTCTGTTCATTGTTTGACCCCCCCCCCCCCCCCCCCCCCACAGTCTTCCTGTCACAGTTCTGGGAGCAGACCAGGAGAGGGAACAAGCAAGGAAGAAAGAGGAAGATGGAAAAACTACTACAAAACAAGTGGATCTGCACCAAGTGTACCCTTAATTAATTTGAAATAATGTGTTTTGAACATTTGCTTGGTTTATTTTTATAATTTTTCTTGCTTTAAACAATTTTATAGAAATACAATAATCAATTAAGTGTTTTATGAAATCACTGAAAAGATCAATAGGCTTTGGCACCCTTCCTCACTTTGATGTGACCCAAATCACCATCAGTCCATCTAGATCTGTAGGCTTAACTTTCTGTTGGCTTGGTACAGAGCACCAGCGAGTCAATGAAAGCTGCAGTTTCTCACATTCTCTAAGAAATAAACTTCGTAATGCTAACCCTATAAAATGGGCTAAAGGAAAAGAAGAAAGGAAAGAAAGAAAATAATTTCTAATCTGATTCTAACATTAAATCACGTAATTTCCTGCCTAATCTTTTAGACATGAAGGCCATACAGCCAAGGCCATTTTAAGAGCACAGGCTGGATATCAAGCATGCAAGGGCAGATTCTGCAGTTAGGTGTGTGCCCAGAGCCACTGCAAGCTTCTTGTGCAGCAGGTATTTCCCAGCCCCTTTAGGCATTTTTCAGGTGATGATCTCAGATCAGAACCAAAAGCTCAACAAAGCATGGAATTTGGAATCAGAGCAAAATGAAAAGTATGGATTTATCATCTTTGCCCAATTTTAACCTGGGCACAGCCTGCTAAAGATTAAAAGAACAAAGAACCAGATAAAAGTTACAGAAGTTTAAGGTGCCAGTGCAAATGAAAAGCTGTGATTTCTATCCTATGATGGCATTTACACAGTACTGTCCTTTTGCACATAATGGGCCTATCTTATTTAAGTGCAGCTTCATTTTGGCACAGGATTTTGTCTCCTTAAACTTTAGAGCACAAGAAAAATTATTCTCCAGCTTAAATATTGTATGCTTATGGAGGAAAAAGAAAGTTTTTTGCTTCTGCCATCTCTTTACATTGAACCCTTCTACTTCCTATGTCTCATTCATTCTTTTGAGGGACAAATGCAGGACTCCAAAGGGGATACTAATCTTGATGTGAACTCTCCAAACTTACATCACGGGAAGTGGTCAAGTTCTTACTGTTTTCCTCTCCCAGAAATGATTTCATACTGTGCATGATATTATCTTTTCGCTGTTGCCGAAATTTCTTCTCCTCATCACATAAAGCCATGCTGAACCGGAGATCAGTTGAAGAGCTATTTTGCAAAACAGACAGGCTTTAACAAAAGGCATAATTCAAAACAGAATTAAAAATATCACCTTTGGAAATAAGTGGTTGTAAGACTAAATTCCTCATTAACCTACATAAGATAAAATAAAATAAAATAAAATAATGATTATTCATGTGACAAGATTGCATCAGCTGATTCCATGGAGTGATGGATGCAAAGAACAATGGCACACTGTGTCTTTAAAACATGCATTTTATATAGAAACCTCATTGTTCAAATAGTAGTGAAAACCAAACACAAAATATGCAGCTTCTAGTGCTATATTATGTGGTCTTAAAAAGACCTAAATTAAAATATAGCAAGTGAGTTCACCACTCACATACAATTACAAATTTACAGTCTAGAAATTTGAATTCTCTGCTTATCCACTGAACAATGAACTGCAATGAAAAATTTTCATACATTCCTACTAACATACACTTTTCTTAAGTTAGAGGTTCATGTTAAGGTAGGAGAGGGTAATTTTGACTCTGTATCCATTTAGCCTTACCATCAAAAACTGTATGGGTGTCAGCACAAATTGTACTGGCTGGCCACAGAAAAGACTAATCTATTTTCTCTAGCTTTTTCCCCACATTGTGTGATCAAAAATATATGAAGGGCTGCATGAAGACCTCAATACTGTACTTAAATAAAAGCTACAACTTCAGCTCCCACTTCTTATTTCAGGTATCAAGGCAGGATAAACAATTTGAACTGTCACCTCATTTGGACTAGTTAACTCACAGAGCCTGTATGTTATTCAAAGGGTTTGAACTAAAATACCTCCCAGCAGCACTGCCTCTAGCAGACAGCACCGAGGAGGTGTGTACAAATCTGTCCTGGTATCTGTCTCATTGAAATTCTCATATTTATGAAGATGAGCTAAAAATGTTTGCGGATACTTTGACATGTAGTCACAAGGCAGCATTTTTAAGAGTCCTTTATGAAAAGCACACAATGGCGAAATGGATCTATTTAGGCATAGACAATAATTCCTCAGATTTTTTAAAAACCTATTATGTAATAAAATAATGGGATTAAGAAAAAGGGGGAAAAAGGCTGCCTAGAAGCAATGTTCCATGAAGGTATATATGATACCATGAACAAGAGGTCCACGCAGAATCCAAAATTTGCACAGCCATCCGAGAATAACAAAGCAGAACTTGATCAGATCCTTTTGTTTAAGGTATTTCAAAGCCTATTGCCTAAGAGCAGCAAGACATAGCCAAGTATCTTCTGTTCGTTTAATGTCAGAGATAGGAAATACTTGTAATGTACAAGCCCTGGAAGGTTTAGGGGTGGTCTCAAGGACCACCCACATATGCATCTTTACTGGTACAAAATGATGAACAGAAATTATCCCTGGGGAATGTTTGTCAGTCTCTGAAGTCATTATGGAAGAGTTCTACATTTACAGTTACAGTGCTCACCACTGCTATTTATGGTTACAGACAAAAAAAGATTCTTTAAATGCCTTGTTCTCAGTAATTAGTTTTTAGACTTAAAAGGTATTTTTCTGATTATGCCTCAAGGTCATTTTTGGTCTTTCACCTAGATAGGCTAAGGAAGAGGGAGAAAGACAGCTAGAGAGGAAACAAAAATAAAGGAAAAAAAAAAAAAGGTAGGCATCTGCTTAGCTTTACACATGGTGAAATCCTGGCCTTACTGAGATCTTCACCTTTGACTTCAGCACTACATGGTATTAACATTCAAATACATTTCAGGGGCAGCTTTGTAATGAGTATCCATATATGCTGAAAGTTAATGTGAGACGCAAAGTTACCACAGAAGGTAAAATAATGAGGATAACAGCTGAACCTGATGGCTGTGAGTTTATTAGAGAAAAAGCCCTTGAAAAGGAAAGCACTTAGCATAAACCAGGATGAGAAATTCATATACAATGGCCTTGTTTCTGAAAATATTTGGAAAGGGCACACCTCCTAATACAAGTAATGGTGTTTAAGTCAGTGATGGAATTACAATGTGAAAAGAACCCTCAATTTTAAAATCTCCTGACTTTACAGTACTTGGTATTTCTATGTTAAAACAAGGAATTTTTGCACTCCATACCTGACATGTTTTTAAGAAAATTCTAACGAACAGAGTAAAATAAAAAATACCTTTGCTGCTAATACATTTTCCACCTTTTTTTTAAAAATATGAGATACTTACCATACTTCAAGAGACAATTCCAAAGTAATTTCAGTGACCTAAACAAGAAATATTTAAATATGGTTACACCGCTTAAAGAGGGGAAAAAAACACAAACACACCTGGAACATAAACTAACTATTGCTGTCAGAATTTTTCTTTAAATCACTTTTTTTAAAGGGGGACATTTCTGAAATACATGAATGAGTTTCTTTTCTACAGAATTTTTTTTTTTAAAAGTACACAGTGTGATTCGAAAATCCACCACTACCACTGAATACAGTAGAAAATGCTGCTACGTGCTGCTAGGTCCTAACTTTCATTCATCGGATCCCATTGTCTTGGCTTTCTTCCACTGGCAATCCCTTTTTGAGAGTGCTATTAATCTTTGGCCTGAAGGGATCTAATTGTCTTCACACACTTAGGATCCTTTGTTTCTATTGCCAGCCACAGTCTATCTTCCACTTGCTTCCCAGTTCACTGGGTAAACTTCACACTTAACTTGTACCTGAAACAAAGACTTGTAAGGGAATGACTGCTCTGTGTTCCACATGAGTCACCAAGTGTCTTTCCACAGTTAAATATGCTTAAATTATCAATCAGGAAGAGTGATTGCTTGCAAGTTTCTGAAAGATACAAGTAAACTAATAAATGTCACTACATAACGATTTCACTTGCAGACCACAGAGAACGACCTGACCCATATGCTATGGGTTGGTCTCCTCTGCCTTTCATAGAGCACTTACAAGGTGTTGCCTGCACGCAAAACGTAAAAAAATGATGGTTAACGCACCAATTGCATGCTAGGCAAAATCCAAGAGTACGAGGTTGCTAGAACTAAGACAGAATGGACAGACATTTTCATCTCCCCGAGCTCTCTCATATGCAATGGTCACTAACACATTGGTACAGCCTTGTGGGAGTGTAGCAGACTCACATACAGTGTCTTGTTTCACCCTGCCTCTAGCTATAAACGGATTATCCTCCTCATTTGTGGTATGTGATCACTAGGAACAGAGCTAGAACACCTCAGACTGAACGTTTGCTTGACACTTATACAGAGTAGTTAAGGATATGGAAGTGCAAAGATGCCTCTGGCCTCTCACATCTCGTGTACCTGCCAACAGGCCAGGTAAAATCTGGCACTCCACTCCTGCCCTCTGAAATGGGAATTGTAAATGAGGTAGCGTATTAACAGGGCGGCGGGAGAAAGAAAAGGCAAAGACATAACAAAGGAAGAACATGAAGAAACAGAGTGAAGAGTCATTTACGGAAATACTTCAAAGACAGGGTAGTAATCACATTATTCCAGCACCTGATATTGCTAATTTAGAAAGCACTTCAGAAACCATGCAGTGATCCAATGGTTGAAAAAAATGTACACACACAGTATTAAATAAACCCTTGAAGTGAAACGTTCCAATAGGGAAATAGCATGCCATTTTCTATACTTTATACATACTGCCACAGAAATCTCAGGAATACACGTTGTGTATACAAATTGTCTACACTGGGCTCAACCTGACTTGATGTTCTGTTACTACTTCCTTATAAATTTGAGAGTATATTTGGCTTTTTTCACTGATTTTTTTCCCCTGTGTTCTCTACCAATCTTTGCTGAGTGCTGATGAGAAGTTAAAGCATATCTGTTATGTGGCAAGGCCTTATATTATTGGCACGAGCTTTGTAAACTGTGTTTTCAAACTATTCATCAGCTCTTTCTCACTACCTCACCTCATGCCTGGCAGAACCAGCCATCTGCAGTCAGCCCACACTCTGGAAGTCCAAGAGTTACTGAAGCACTTAGTGAAATAAATATGCAGAAACTAAAAAACATGCAGTAACTTTAAAAAAAAAAATTAAAAAAAATTAAGGTATCAAAATTCCAACTGCCCTAAGGCTACACCTAATTAAATACTAAATCTTACACATTAAACTCTCTGATTTCCAATAAATAGGCCTTAACCAGTTATTTGCTGTAACCACACTTTCATATCACATGGAAGACAGCAGAGCAGTCACAAATCAAGACCTCTGACCATATAATAAACCATAGTCCAAAACAGAAATGCAGACAGAATTTATACATATAGTATATGGATACAATATATATAAAGATAACCAGATGTGATGGCTATGACTACATGTACTGAATTATGTTCAGAATGCCCTGTGATACACTACTCTAATAAATGACAACATTTTAATACGTGCAGAACAAGCTCAATTACACACAGATTTAACAACAATTTCCAGGAGTTACCGTGCAGGCAGAAAATCCCTGTTAAGCTGGCTCCATCTGTTTTGTATACATGTTTAAAGAGAATAATCCAATTAATGCATTATTGCATGTTAACTAGGGTTGTGTTACAACAAGCCATTTATTGAAAGTTAAACATATAATAAAAAAGAATTTCTGTTAGCTTTCTGGAAGCCACAGGCATCAGTAGTAGAGGTAATATACTGACCAGCAAACTCTACGTAACCTCTCAAGCTAACAAAGACCATTAAACTAAATTGAAACAAGTGGTGCAGAAACTGGTTTAGCAAGCGGAAGTTTGAAACTAGACTTTTTTAAAGAGAATTCTCTCAGCAGGGACACTAAGGCATTCAGTGGCACTGTTTTTCTTAATTCTCCCCTCAGCAGGGCTGTAAGAAGATAAATACAGTGCCTTTAGGCCAGCACTTTGTGTTTAACCACCGGCAACAGTGAATGCTTGGAAAATGCTTCAGAACAGGGTATGCAGAGAACAATCCTCACCTGAGATACTCCCACCCACGCGCCCAAATATTCAGCTATTTCCCGATTGAAAGGCTGCCACCCTTACCCCCTCCATGATATATTCTAATCCCTTCTTGAATTTAAAACTTACCTCTATATTAAGAAAACAAACACGTACATAGTACTGAGGTAGACTGATGGGATCAGAAATAGTCTTCTATTTCCTTTCAACTAGAAACATGTACTTCTGACGAGTATCAAGAGCAGGCCGAATGTTTTTCTTATGCTTCAACAAAATGAATGAGGGAATACTCGAGTAACATCAAACTCAGTGAGAGACCTTAGGACACATCACTTAGCCTTTATAAGCACCATCCTCTACTGATATGTGAAGAAGATTTATCTAACCAGAATGTGGCACAGATAAAAATCAGACACCTGATAAAGGACTGAAACATGGTACGTCCTGGTCTACACAATAGTTTAGGTCTCTCAGTTCAGGTGCTCTTTTAAGAACTTTCCATCATGTTCAAAGCTGCACCAACAAATGCAAAGCTATGAAAGTTGCAACTTACATCATTGAAAGTTAACTGGACCTCCTTCTTCTCTCCCAGTTTTAGAGAAGATATAGGAAATGTGGATGTGCCAAGAGTCTCATCCATAACGTAATTGGCATCCATCAAAGTAACCTAGAAAAGATACACGGGTATTCAAATCTATTTTGATAAATCCCTTTTTAATTCCATACAGCCTATGCCTAAAGTAAAAAAAAAATTATACGGAAAAGTAATAGGCCCAACCCACTTAATGCCCAATGCCAACAGACATGTTCTTTTAAAACAGGATAAGCTCATGTATAGTGTAGGTGGCACCTTCAAGGCAATCAATTGCATGAGTATAACAGTATCATTTACAAAGGGTTTTTTATCCTAGCACCCTTCTGTCAGTAGATTTCACCATCTTCCTAAGCAGACATAGTAACTTCAAATTATACATATAAAATATACAATTACTTCAAATTTCCAGTTAGTAAAACTTCTCTATGGAGAAACTTACATAGTTTTAAATGCGATATGCCAAAACCCAGCAACTTTTCAGTGAAGACAGCATCCATACATCCTAGCCTTGTATCTGCAGCCCAGGATTTTTTATAGCAATGATTTGGCAAAAAGTGCAACATTCCAAATTACGCAAAGCTTTTCTCTGTATCCAGCCAGATCTTCATGTCTCTTCTCATATTCTCCATGTCAGAGCATATACCTTTTCAAAATGTGATACTGTCCAAAGATGTATGTGGATACCACAGAACACTGTTCAACACTTCAACCCATGTGGGTCTACATCTAGCAGTCTTTTTTTCTCCATGGCAGCCTTCCAAGTTCTGAAGTAAGATATTCAGAAAGAATTTCAAACTAACATTTCCATGGTTTCTATTAAATTTGGCTTATGATTTTTTTCCACTTTGTGGAATGCTATCTTCTAAAGTATCGTATGTTTGCAGCTTGGACCATAACTTTTGCATTAAAAAAAATTGAATCAAGATACAATCACTTGAATAACTAGTTGCTGCATCTGGGTTCAGCCTCTTCTCAGCTATAAAGAATCTTCTTCATCCTGTGCCGCAAGCAACCCTTTGAAATGATGAACTGTATTTTAGGACACAACTCATTATTTTAATGGCATCTACGTTATTCTGTTTCCTTGCAGAACTTTATGCCCATTGATGTAATCTCTGAGGGCTGTCTTTTAAAACCAATAGCGATAACAAAAACTTCTTAATGGGATTTTGGAGAGCTTCTTACACTTTAGAGTGAAAACTGCACTTCGGATAGAGTTAAAGATTTAGATTAAAATAATCTGAGGAGTCGAGAGGATTGTGGAGTCTGTGTGAGCTTGGAAATTCACAAAGAGGTTTTTGGTGGGGAGGTGGTTTCGCATATTTGAATTCTGACACTGCACTCCATGCACAATCCAAAGGCTCTGCCAGGCACTGTGTGTGTGTACAACAGTGGCAGAACACAAACATCAGTTTTAACCTGAAGACTTTACATTTCATGGTGAAGATATTGTTTACCGTGAACACCACATATGTGTATGCAAATACACATATCAATCAGGTCCACAATTAACCATTATTACATGGTATCACTGGCTCTTTGCAGGTAATTTTCATGGAATTTTACAGCATGTGTCTCAGAGAACAGCAACAGCCTTTAGTTATTGTAAAGATATATTGCCGAATTCTACTTAAATCAATCTTGTGTCCTGTTACAGGAGATAGAGACTTGCAGAACCCGGCAGTATGCTATGGCCATACTGTGCTGGAAATCAACAGCTTGCCAGCTCATAAAATCCTGTACTTTATAACGACTGCATAAAACCTTGCTAAAAACTGAGAAACACTTTACAAAATGTTAACCAAATTATAAAAGATGTTTTAGTAGCAGGAGGTTCTCACCCTGGTGGGAAATGAGCTAGTCACATTGTTACCACAGAAGGAAGCAAATGAGGCAGGCCTCCACATGGTCAAAAATATCTGAGACCATGTAACAGTAAGAAAGTAATGCCTTACCAGCATCTCAACTTCTTCACATCAGAATGCATAAAGATACAGAGTATAAGAGGTGGTAGTGTTCCCAAGAAGGCAGGAGTTAAGCCATTGGCCACTGCTGTTTGTGACTTTAATAACTTATCCTTTAAAAAATCCTTGAACCAAATTTTGTACTCAACAAATTCATACAGTACTAGGGAAGCTGCCTAAGTGGAACTACAAGCAGAATCTGACCCAGTCTTCACACAATGCCAGTAAAACCAAGGGAATATATTTTAACTATTATTTGTTATTCCTCAGTTTACCATTCCACTTCTCTTTTGAGCATCATCAGAGCAGCTATAGATCACATCAGTTATTTAGCCAGCTGTAGCTCCTGCAGATCTTCCAAAAAAGCACGGGATCTGCAAAGAGAGAGGTAAAACTCTCTGCCCCAGGACTTTTGTTAGAATCCACAAAGTCTTTATCAGGTAAAATTGAAACAATTTTTAGTTCCCATACTGCAACAAAGGCAGCTGATGAACCCAAGTTCTTCTTTTCTTCTTCCTATTTCCATAAATGCTTTTTCACGAAGAAGCCAGAATCATTCCATTCCTCTTCCTAATTCCTGATATCTATTTGCCTGACTTGTTATTAGAAAGCAAGAACTAAGTTAGAGATTTCAAACTTTTATCGAGTTTCATGTGGCCAGTTTGCATGCCTATGACCAAAACATTTAGTAAGAATCAACTCAGGTGACTGTTGCACCTGACCAGCTGGTGGAAGCTATTTTGGGTAATCTGCTTTCTGCAAAGCTGTAGGGAAGTTACTGTGAATTCCCTAGTATTGCTGTTTCTTTTGCAGGATGCATATGATAGTTCTTCATGCTCCATTGAGCTGATCATGGGATTCTTCCTCCCCGAACTGTAGAACCTACCCCTGTCCCCAAGAACACAGGGAGCCTTGTAGGAAGCACAATCCAATTTTCAGATCTTGAACAGTTTAGCCCCAAGAGATTATGGTTACTAGTTCAATTAAAAGCTTCACAGGCTTTAGCCTCTGTCCCAGTTGGCCATTTTAAACCGAAACTCCGTAAGCTCGGGTCAGAAGACTTCATGTGTTAGGGCCATCCCCTATGAAGAACCAAGCTAACAAAGGACTATAGATAACCTTAAATGCTTGCCATGCCCACTTACAAAATAGTTACACTTAACACTCACCTTTGGTACACAACCCAGAAAGGTTTAACATACTGAGACTTAATGGTGGCTTAGTCAACTAGCACATGGAATAAGAGTACCCAAAACAACACTGGGTGGGCTACACAGCCCTTGGCTCCAGGCATAGAGGACAGAGCAGAACCATGCTTCTGCTTTCTGTCTCCTCAGGGAGAAGCAGGGAATGGGCAGAGACTTGACTTTACCCCAACCTATTCACTGTTCATAATAGTTGAATCAGTGTAGGAAGCAGGGAGAAAATAATTTATGGCTGATGTGAAGAATAGTAAGCTACTAGCCCTCAGGAGCAGTCCGAGAGATGACTCAGAGGCATATCCTATAATAACTCTCAAGGCTACTCCATGAATAATGCAATTTGTACAACACCTCTTGCTTAGCCCCATGCCTAAAGGCAAAAAACAGCCTTTAATGTTTAAAAAAAAAGTTGTCATCTTGAGACAACAGATGCCATACATGTACAAGCTACTGTTACTTTAACCTTCTAGACATTGCACAACTTCCATTTTCACAGATACAGCTCAGCCACATGATTTACCTCAAGAACATTCTCTTGGTTGGGGTCCAAAATGAACTCAAAGGTCTCATTCCACACAGGATTCACATCGTTATTGAAATGTTTCGTTCTCTTCCTGCAATCAGGAGCAGATGGGATGAACAGCTCCACATAGGGATCTGGAGTGTCAACTACAGAGCAAAACAGATGCTGAAGTTAGGTAAAACTCAAGTTTGGGTTGCAATAATCAATACAATTATGTGAAACCACAGATCACCTCATGGTCTATGACAGAAAAATATTCAACTATATAAATTACAGAAAAATAATGACATGAATCATACAATGATATTAACAATCTCCCAAAAAAACCCAGACATTATGCTTTTAAGAGAGGAGGAAAAAAGCCTTGAACAAACAGAATAGCACTGGGACTGATTCAAGTTTATTTGAAATATGTATGCTTCTACCAGGCAGTGGTAATTATTTTTAAAAACTTTTACCCCTTCCTCTCTTTCTAGCCTTTAATTACTTTGGCTTGTGTCACAGAAGTAAGTATTCCACAAAAACAGTCTTCGGTTAATGAAAACAAGCAGCCTGGTATACAGTTTTGGATCCTCTTTCACCTTTGCTGGTTTGGCAATCATCAAGGAAATCAGTCAGACCACTTATGTATTGCTAAACACAGTGTAAGGAGAGCTGTTCAAATCTGAAACCACTGCAATTACCAGATCTTTGTGGAGGTCACCACAGAATCAAGATCTCATTTACACAGTATATTTGAATAACAAATGCGCGGAACACTAACTGAAAATATAGAAACATATGCCAACTATAGCTAATCAGAATTATCAGAAGGAGAAAAATACACATTGACAAAACTCATCTGATGTGTCTAATAATAGCCATTCCTGAGAGCAAAGAATGCATTGTTGGCAGCCCTAAAAATCCTACCTTTCTAACTGGTTAATGGATGTTATATTTCTCTGTCCAGTGAGGTTTTTTCTGTCCAAGGAGAGTTCTTTCTGTCAAATTGCGCCAAGGCTGATGTAGTCCTTTACAGACTTCTCTAAAACATTGCTCAGATGCTTCACAGCAGAGCATGGGAAGTTATTTCTGTCATTTTGGTGATCATGAAAACCCACCTACTCTGCTGTGGTAAAACATGCACATCTTTCCAGCATCCTCTCTTCAAAGTTTTTCCTCTGCTTTAGTGAAACATTTTCAAGCAAATACAAAACCCACCACAAACAAGAATCCTTTCCTTAAAGGTCTCTTATTGAAACAGATTAAAACCCATTACTAGGTAAAAGAGGTCTGAATATTCCTCCTTGTACACACTTTAAGTCTAAACAGACTTTTTTCAACAAAGCCAAGTTTTTCGAGACTCTTGGATTTCGATAAAATGTTATCAGTGAGATTGCTGAGGCCCAGAACCACATGGTCATTTCAGCTGGGAGAAGGAGGAAAAGAGCAAAACAAAAAAGTTTTATAATTTCCTATAGGAATCAATTGTCTTCTGGAAAAAAAACAATCAAACAACCAAAAAAAGGCTTTTTGAAACCACTCAGGAGTTTCTGTATCTGTACCAGGGCAGAACAAAATCAATACTCAAAATGTTTGGCCTCCCAGCAATTCCAGTGGGGAAAATCAGACATCTAATGTACCTTCCGATGCCATCGCCAAACATAAAAGATACCAAACTTACCCACAAAGTACTTCAAATATCTCTGGAAATGCAAAATAACACGGAAGAGTCATGCTTTGAACTAAGTATTCCTCTAGCTAGTGAAACTTTAGGGACAGTAAACAAACCTTCTCCTAGACTCAGGCTCCCTCAGTTAAAATTTTGTATGTAAACAGACTTCGTGATTCACAGATTTCACTGTGTGAGGATTTCCTTGGACTGCTACAATGCTCCACAAGACCTTCTTAAGGAGTTTTACACTGTGCTCGGTATCTGTGGGGCTTAGCCAGTTGCTACAATTTGGCAGGTCACACTGCTACCTGTATAATTAACAAGCAGCTATTTAAAGTCAGGGATCAGTGTATGAAGCCTTTAAACAACAATCTTTATTAGCTCCTAAGAATTTATGTCTGATCTTCTCTCTCATTTAAAGTCAGAGGAACAGGGGGATCAACCCCCAAGTGTATTTTAAATCTGTTTTCTCAGTGGAAGATGTAACTAATTGCCAACCTTTATTGAATATGTTAGCTGCCTTGAATTACTACACAAAATTGTGCGAGAAAGAAGGAGATCAAGGCCCCTTGAAACTAAACAGCAAAATATCTACCGAAATCAGAATTGACAAGATCTCATCTGGTAAGTCTGGATATCAAGCACTACTTTGGCAATAAGCACTACAGACTTGCTCTGCCAAGAGACTGAACTTGCCTACAAAAGCTTGGGTTTTAACCAAAATAATGGTGCTGATCAGTGTTCTGGGCAAAACGTCAATGCTTCCTCTTCCGTTCAATCTTTTTATGTGATTATGTGATCAGCCCTAACTGTAAGATACAAAACTCTATTTTTTTCTTTTAAAAACAAACAGCAAATGGTTTCCTATCTGTATTCAAACCCTGAAGCATATGGAAACCCCATACCACTGCACAGCTGGCATACAGATGCCATTACTAACTTCCTATCAGACAGACTCCAAATAAGTGTTGAAATAGAAACTAAACCCAAGGCACATAACAACTAAACTTAGAAAAATCAGTCTTTGTAACTCAGTATTGCCAAGCCGCCCCCTCACTCCCTGCCTTTATTATCTTTTTTAACCCGAGGCAAAGAGTTAATCATCTGCCCTTTCATGTTTGAAAGTTTATTTTGTGCTATTTTCAATTAAGAAAACAAAAATCTATTCTTTTGTAACTTCCTTCTTCAGATGAAGACAAAAAGTACTGGAAGACTGTGTGCTCTGATTAAGATATTGCTATAAGCTATACTGTATTAATGAAAATCTTACTCCTCATTATTATTGGTTGGGGACCAAAAACTAGCTATCAGCAATCTGGCAAGTAACGCAGAAGTATTCACTTAATGTATTTCAAAATGTTAAAGTTATCAAATGCAGATAAAACAGACAGAGTGTGTATCCTTTTGTATAGAGTATTTATTTCTCTTTGTGTTTTCGCTAGTTGATTTGCCAAGTACGTTTTTCAAAAAAACTAATCTGAAAAAGTAAGTGAGAAGTAGCTTGATCACTGTTGTTATCTGTATTTTGATTTTAAAAGGAAGCATCTTTATGAAATGGTTTATGGGTCAAAAGCTGATGTTTTATGAGTGTAATCAATACAAGAGAATTATCTATGTAGAGACAACATTGTCGTGGAATTGCTCATTTATTTTAGCAGCCTACTTCAAATACCAACCACAGACTTTTCAAAATAAGCAACGTGTAAGAATTTGTACTTCTTCCTCAGTCACTTCTGAAGAAAACGAAGTTTCTATACAGCTCAGCTAGGCTCTGGGCTATTCTTTGCACAAGCATTCTCGCATGACTCCTCCATAATTTGCAGGCTAGTTATCTGCAATGCATCTCAACTTTTTAATGTAGATAAAGTTTGGAACGTTTGCAAATGGACAACTTGGAAGGTTTGCAAATGGACACATGCACTACCATAAGACAGTGACTGTATAGTATGATTCCATATTCCTCTCTTCCTGGCACTCTTTGACTATTTACAGTAAGTGCCTGAAAATGTGTATGCAACTGAAACGTCATACTTCTCCCAGCGTCAAAGAGCTTCATACATAATGGCACAGATAACACTTTGGAATAGAGAGACCAGACTCCATTAGCATTTATCAGTAAAAAACGAATATGAACTGACAATTAAGTACAAGTGTATATAAAACCCCACCTTTACATGAAAAAATAAAATTAAGAGTTTCAGCACTGATGTCATTGGAACTAACAGAGGGTCCTTCAATTAGCAGCTTATAGCTAGATGAATTATGAAGGTGATTAACAAAATGTTCATAATAATCCTTTTGCAGGATTTACAGCATCCACCAAATCTGCAGGGGCTGAATACAGATATCCAATAACAAAAGCAGAGTCTGCATCTAAACTGTTATTTTTAAACACACTGGCTTAAGAAATGGCTGAGAGGTAGGAAGTAAGGATTCAATGACTTTTCCTTGTTTGTTTTATCTCCTGGTTAAGTAATTGCTATAGAATTCTTTCTCTAAATTACATTGTGAATCATGAAGTGAAACACACAATGGACAGTAATTAGGATCAATCATTTTCACATTAAAAATGAGTAATGCTTTAAGCAATCTGTCTGTTAAAGAAACCTGTAAAATTTTCTACAATGACTTGAAACCATTTGATCTTATGTTACTAATTTGGTGAGATGACTGTCATCAGGCCCCCATATTAATATAATTAATATTTGAGACATATAATTTGTATTTCAGTCATTCCAGTTTCAATTATTTCAAAAGCATAAGAGACATAAAGAAACTATAGAAAGCCTGTTCAAATATAAAATACCAAGGATGAAGCCACTGCCATCATACATTAAAATTCATCTCATTTATCCATCAAAAGTTGAAAGAAATGCAAAGTACTTGAAGTATTCCAAAATCTGGTTTGCTACAAAAAAATTCTGCACCATAAGAATTTGTCTTTTTTTTACAAGAGCACATCATAAACACTTGTGGTCATAAGGGATATTAAAGCAAGCTATATTAACTTTAATTTCAGTTAATATATGCATCACCATTATAGAAAGTAAATCTGGATCCAGATTTTTTGGACCCATGATCTCCAGATACCATGTTCATGCATTTACAGGAATATTCCAGCAAGTACATGACAGAACTTCCTTAAAGAACTATGTTAGTTTGGTTCATTGGAGTTTTCTGCCTTCTAGTTAACCAACATCCTCCACCATTAACTGCAGCCCCATTCATAAAATCTTACTAGGTCCCAAATGACCATCTTTGCCTACCTTCCACCATTTTTTTGGCTTACTGCACTACAGTACAACTTGATTAGCACAAAATTACATGCAGCCGAGCGGCCTGACTGAGGCCAAGCTAATAATGGGAATTGCTGGACTACCTCCCTCTCCTCAAAGGGGAAGGAAGCTAAAAAACACCAGCTATGCCTTATACACAAGCAGTTCAGGCTGGGGAAGGGAGCTCAAGCAGGCTGTGCAGCACATACTCACTGCT